GACATGCTGCAGGAGGAAGCTTCTCCTGCAGCTGTGGGCTGCACACAAGTGAAGCAGGTGCTAAATAGTTTAAAATAATTTATTTAAATTTTTAAAAATCCATGCCAATCGTGCGGCTCATCCTTAAATCAGCCAGTTGTGTCATGTCCAATCTTACTTTGAAAAACTGCAAAAGAGCGAGTCCGCGAAAAATGAACCACGAAGTAGCGAGGAACTAACGTATACACCGTTCTGTCTTAATTTTTTTTTTGTTGCTAAGATATACTGTAGTTATCAAAATAAATGTTTATCATTGTGCTCTTTTTTAATGAATGTAATACATTTTTATGTGACCTAGTTTTTACCAAGGAATTCCTAAAAAAGGTCGAGAATGTGGTATTTCAATTCAATTCAATTCAGTTTATTTGTTTAGCGCCAAGTCACCACAGAAGTCATCTCAGGGCACAGAAACATTCATATATAATAAAAAGTAAGTTAAGAGGAGCAGACTGCTTTGAGGTATGTTAGAAGAACAGAGGTAAATACATGGCACAGGTATCCCTCTCGCTGTATGAATGTGATTTCAAAGCACTGATTAGTCTCTACAGGTTCAGATTAGCTTTGTAGAGATCTAGTAGAGTGCTGTATGAAATGATGGCACAGACTGTGTTGAAAAGTGCTTTGAGTGTCTTGATCAGATAGAAAAGTGCTATGTAAGTACAGTCCATTTACCATCTTCCTTAGCCTGCTGGCAAAAAGCCATTTCAAGTAAACCCATAAGAATGTGTATAAAAAAACAACAACAACAACAAAAAACATGTTATATAGCGAATCCCTTACATTGTCCTTGTTTGTAAGGAGGGTTTGACGAACGGACAGAGATGAGGATTAAAAAGAGGAAGAGCGGCCATAAAATCTCGATGATCAGCTGGATCTGCAGAGAATGGGGAAAATTAAAAAACTGCATAATATATAACCAAAAAAGTCCATGCTCAATAATCCAGGTATACAATCCAACAATTTTCAGTCAGGTCATCTGGACAGTTGTGTGTTTCCTTGACTGATGAAGCCTTCTGGATGGAAGGTGAAACGTTTCAGCAAAAAAAAGGAACTGTCCAGATGACCTGACTGAAAATTGTTGGAGTACAATAAATAATAAATAATGCTTACTCAAAAGAGAAAAGGGTTGGACAGTGTTTAGCACGCTTATTTATTCAATATTCATACTTTTGTTTTCCTTTTTTTTATTTTAAATTTCTGTATGCTTTTCTTTAATTTTAACAACATCTGGATATTTTGTGTTTTATCTTTCATTAGTTAAAACATTCAGCTCAAACAGAAGACAAGGAGCTAGGACTTTTATTTTTGTAACTTTTACTTCATTTCAAAATATATAACTTAATTTACAATTGCTGTATTTACCAACATCTAACATCTGTTTCAGCGCAGTTGCTGTGTTTGTCTTCTGTTCTACTTTTAGTTTTCTGCTAGGGCTTTGCTACTTTTAGCTTCTTGCTAGCTTTTTGATACTTTTACCTTTAACCTAATCTTTTGTTGCTTTCAACTTAGAATTTTGCTACTTTTGCTTTTAGCTAGTGTTTTGCTACTTGTAGCTTTTATCTAGCCTTTGGCTATCTTTAGCTTCTTGTTATATTTTGCTAGCATTTTGTTGCATTGAGATTTTAAGCTTTTATTACTTTTAGCTTGTATTAACCTTTTGCTGCTTTAATTTTTTAGCTAGCCTTTTGCTACTCAACTCGCATTTTGATACATTTAGCTTATTCTTAACATTTAGATGCATTTAGCTTATAACTAGTTTTTGGCTACATTTATTCTATGGTTGGCTTTTTGGTGCATTTGGCACTTTAAGCCTTTATATAGTATTTTGTTTCTTTTAGTTTTAACAAATCTGCTTCAACTTCTTCATCAAATGTCAGCAAAGTCATTCAGGACTCAGCGTTCATGCTGCAGTTCTGACAAAAAAAATTAATTAAATTAACTTAACAACAGACATATTCAGTTCTTAAATAAAACTACAAATTTTGTGGCTTTTACGAGTATCTTCTTCTTCTTTCGGCTTTTCCCTCTTCAGAGGTCGCCACAGCGAGTCATCCTCCTCCACCCCACTCTTGGCTTTTACAAGTATATTCTTCTTAAACGAAGAACAGTTGACCGGTATTTACTATTTGGGGTGTCTTTGATAAATGCGTATTGGAGAATCAACAGTTAAAAAAATTAATATGTAAAGTAAAAATGTGAGTACCTTGTTCCGTCTGCGATATGTGATGTTTTTCCAGAGCAGGAGGTATAATGGTCTAAAAAAACCCATGGTGTTCAGCAGCTACCTCACCATCCTGAAGAACAAAAGAATAATATTCTGATTTAAAAACACACACAACTAAATTAACAGAGATGGAACAGCAGAGCACATAAGCTGAACTGTTGCATTCTTGTTGGTGATATATTTAGTATTCCATACTTTATTGTGTTTAGCTGTTTCCGTTTTTCCTCTTAGGAAAAACAGAATAGCACAAAAGACTGAGCAAGTTGTGTGCTGCATGTTGGAGTAGCTCCGTTACGTTCATTCTGAGTTATTGCGTTTGAAAACTTTAATTCCTCTTTTCTCTGGATGCAAATTGCTTTTTTCGGATGATTATTTCCTCTGGTATCGGATGCTGTGCAGCTGGAAGGATTTTTACCGAAACCTTTTTACTTTGGGGCATTGGTTATGATGCATAACCATGGCAACAAGGTGTTTTTTTTTTAACAACCAGGAGCAGCTGATTAACACCTCAAAAGCTCATATACCTCAACTACAGCCCTAAATCCCAAATGAGTTGAAAAGGAGGTGCCGTGGATGAATTCCCGTCAACCTGGCGGTGGTGCTTGAGTACCTGTCTGCTGAAATCCCGGAGCTGGTGGGAAACTCAGCTCGCGACAACGGGAGGACCGGGATCATCCCCCTGCACCTTCAGCTGTCTGACTGTGGCAACGATGAGCTTGGCTCAGGGAGGAATTCAGCCCGGCATTCCGGCAGTCCTGCTGCCCAGGAGGACCGCCGGATCTGACAGCAAACTGTGTGGACAGATAGGCATCTGTGGCCAGATTCTTTGGAGTCGCTGCAGGAGATCCTTCCTGCCCACAGCTATCAGCATCTATAACTCTCCAATGAAACCAGGATGATGAGCTACGACACTTAATTTCCCTTTGGGATTAATAAAGTATTTTTGAATTTAATTGAAAGATGCCTAAATTTACAAACACAAAAATTACATATACTGTAATAAATAAAAAAATTAAGCTGATTGAAGTCTTTGACTTGACTTTCTGATATTTGACTTGAAGAGGCTTGGTTTGAAGAATTATTGATTTGTTTTCCAAGATATTTTCATCCTTGCTTCTGGGACCAAAGTGTTGAAGACTCAACCTGGCTTCCTGTGTGCGTGTGGAGAGTAAAAGTTGCCTTTGGTGCCCTTGTAATCTGCTCCACAAAAGCAATCCCTGCTTCTTGTGGAAATCCTCCTGGACCTGATCCAAACAGCTTATATTGCCAGTCGCAATCCAAGACACACACTTTTGATCTGCCAGAATAAAATACTCAAATAAAGTAAACAAAGGCAATACACTGCAGTGAAACTATGTGCCAGGTTTCAAGAAAATGTCTGTACAGAAACGATTTCTGTGCAAGGCAGACTCATTTAGACATCAGTGAAAGCTATTTTACTTTATGTCATTACACCCATACCTTGTTTCAAAGCTGTATTTGCTGTAAATAATAATAAAGACAGCAACATGACAGGCACTCAATAAAAATAAGTATCTTCGCAATAAACTGAGGGGGAAAGTGCATTTTTGTCTGTAAACGCTAGCTTTCTTTCATTAGCATCGCACAGTGACACTGTATAGAGTTAACAAACCCATCCTAAAAGGAAACAAAAAAACACTAGAAGGCTTTAAATTGTATATATCGAGTTAATAATTACCTTCCTCCAGTAAAATTATGTCTTTAAAAACTCCTCCGAGCTTCTATTCACGGTGTGGATGGACACCGGTAGCTCGACATTGACTTCTTAATGTTTATAAGAGCAGGTGTAGCCGGCAGAGTCCCGCCCACAGGCTCATCTGATTGGCCAAGTCACATCAAAAGGGGCTGACCTACAGGCGGCCATTGGAATTTGATTGGTCAAAACTCGTATTTTCGTAACGGAAAAACTGCTGATTGGTCAGTCGCGATCTTGTCAATGACTGACTCACAGACCTTTAGGTAATACAGTACCAGCAATCTTTGATTCAGTAATAAATGTATTATTACTGTTAATCATAATAATAAGTTATCACTTAAGCCATTTAATGATATAAATGTAGTTTTGAGTATTGTCAGTTATATCTAATTATTGGTAGTCATAAAATAGTCTAGTATTATAGTAAATAGGGAAAACTTGTTTTTCTTCTGGACATGGTTCAGTACTAACTTCTGAAATAAACTCATCTGTATTAAAGCACCCCCCCCCCCCACCAAAAAAAAAGACACTTATAATGGCAACTTATCCTACATCCTCTGCTTCTCAATAAATAACAGTATAACAATTCATTACATGTTTTTTTTAATAAGCATTCATATAAACAATTTAAAATATAAACAGAACATTATCATACAAGGCAGTGACATTTCTTGTGCCTATCAGCACAGTCAGTAAAACACAGCACGAATGAAACAGAGCACTCTCGGAAGTTTTTGATAGACACTTGCTGATATGTATGAGGACACGATGGACACCAAGTTCATTACAATGAAGCACACAAAGGTTTTTATCTGGGTTCAATGAAGTCACCACTTCAAATACAGTTATATCAGATGAGAAATACTTTTAAATCTGGAAGACTGATCGGCCATGTTTTACTCAATGTTACTCACCAAAAAAACATCTGGTAAATTTCTAAAATGTCTAATAAATATAAATGGAAAGCCACTCCTCTATTGTCGTCATTGCAAGTTTTGTTCTTTGACTCCAGTGTGATTTAAATATTATAGGAAAAAAACAGTCCATGGTATGTAAAGCAGTGACTACTCTGTAATAAAATTGCATAAAGTTTTTTTTTTTTTTAGCTTGGCAGAAGCTTCTGTAGCTTGAACTCTGCAGGACGGTGAAGCAAGAAGCGCTCAAAGAAACACTGGCTGCTCTTGTCCCGTCAAGAGTCGATACGTCGAGGCTGGCATCGTCTTCAAGTGTATCTGCCGTTGAGAGAGAAAGTTAAATTTTTTAATTAAAGTAAAAAACAAACAAGAGATAAAAAAAATTACAGGCCTGGAATTCCTTAAAGGAAAGCACACATGCGTGCTGCCTTTTACGCCACAGTTTTAGACTAAGCTCAAACGACAACGTGGTAGAAGTTTAGGGTCAAACCTGAAAAATATTGTTTTGCTCAATCTCATAATATCACAATATGTCACACTAAATGACTCTCAGCTATTAACCTGTCAAATTTTAGCAAAGTTTGTCAAATTGACTGAGCTTCTTGTTAAACAAGTTGTGACAGCCATCATGAAATGGGTTGGCTTCAAACGTTAAAGTACATTTAATTAATATTTCCAGGATGTTGTATAAAAATCCATCCAACAGTTCTAGAGATATTTTGCAAAACAGACAGCACCAACTCCAAATAGTTGACAGTGAAGTTTGCGCCCTGGGTACAAATTGTGGATGTGTTTCAGCTACTACCACACCTAGCTATAGCTCGATATCTGTAAAATTAAATGTGTAATAGTCGTTTATTGTGTTTTTAAGATCAATTTGCTATGAACATCCAAAGATTATTTTCTACAAACTTCAATAAAATTTGTTTAGTGGTTCATGAGACATTTTAGTGACAAAAATGAACACATAGATGCAGGCATAAACATTGTCCGCCTTTGACTTTGGGTGAAATTAAAACAGATATGAATAATAAAAAAACAATCCAAACAGAAAAAAAGATGATACAACGTTGGGAATAAGTAAAAAGCCAAGCTCAAACCAAATAAAAGCCAAATAATACAAATAAATAAGAGATTCTCTCTTGAACATTACAAATTCAGAGTATCCATTTCACATCTTCTCACCTCTCCAACAGCATTTGTGAGGATCTGGATGATCTTCTCATGTTGAGTCGCAACAACGCTCTGCCCGTTGATCTCAATGATGCGGTGCCCGACACGGATTCCTCCTCTTTCTGCGATGCCACCTCTCATCAGACTGCAGATCTGCAACAAGAAACTTTCTTAATCAGAAACAGAGTCTTGTGCGTGGTTTATCATTGTTCAGTTTGTCAAATTTCCCCCCAAAAAATGTGTCACGTTAATGGTATTTTCCCAACAAAACTGTAACGTTAAATTAAATTGACTGCTAAGACATTTGTTTCTGAGGAGTAATAAGATCCGCTGAAGAGATGGTTTTGTTATTGCCAGACTTTAAGAAACGTTACATACAATGCCGTCCTCAACACTGAAGCCCAGCTGAAACTTGGGATCGGGTCTTCTTATGATCGCCATGGTAACCGGAGGGCAGTGGACAATGCTGAGCCTGACATACTTTTGGCTTTTCAGGTCCTGAGTCACAAACACACCCAAAAGAAGGTATAATGATTAATCCATTTTTCCAGGAGTATTTAGGCATCCATATATTGTTATATAAGTACATATATACAGTAAGTACAAGTACATCTGTACTTTAAGGTCCCTCTTGTAAATGAGTGCTCGTGGCTCAATGAGGCTAGCCCGCATAAATAAAGGTTCAATGAACGTATATCACACGCCTCCTGCACGCCGAAGCTTTGAGCAAAATTCTTGCATGATCTGTTAGTTCTCAGACCATGTGATGTGGATGATTGTCTGCGACTACCAAACATATTGGCTCAGTATCTTTAAAAAAAATCACTCAGTTGTAGCCATTTTAGTTTGGTCAGGTTGATTAGCTGTGATGGCCATTTTAAAATGTGTATGATAACAGTTAAAGACAACGTTTTAAACAAAATGGTGTTATCTGTAAAAGCGATGACTGTTCCACGTCAAGTATTTAGCTCAGTATCTGCAAAACTGGCTGCTTTGTCACCATTTATGTATTTTGTGAAGTCAGTTGTCTGTGACAGCCATCTTGAATTAAGGTGACTTCAAAATTTGATCAGATGCATGTACACCCAATGATTGTTTATTTTTTATTTTATTAAAATCCATCCTGTGGTTACGAGGTCATTTGCTAACGGACAGAGTTGATTCCAAAAGTTAAAGCTTGATTTTTAATACAAGATCTTTTTCTGATCTGTTAGAGCTTAGAGTGTGTGTTGGGGATGATCCTCAGCTACTGCTACACCAAATTTGAGTTCAAAAACTGTATCTTGCAGATGTATATCCAGTGATTACTTTCTGGGAGATTCATTTAAATTATTCCACCAAGTTCATAAGATATTTTGCTAACAGTCCAGAGAAACATGCACAGACATTGGCAATTAGCGATACCCAGTTTTGATCCAAAGCTCAGTAAATTAGACCCAGAAGGTGTTTTTTTATGCTTTGTTTTTAAACAAATAGCACAATTATTCTAAGAGTTTTAATTTTGACCAAAAAAAAAGTTACTTTAAATACTTTTGTCAGTTGGGATTCCAGTGGCAACCGAACAGACAGCAACCAAAGCCAGATAAGACAACTCGACAGCAGAGATTCGTCATTACTTTGTTTGGTTAAGTGAGAAGTTCTGGCTCGCCATATCTCATCTTTTTTTCCTGCTTCTTTAACCAGTATCACATTTCTTTAAGAATGGAAGGAGTGATCTGAGAACGCTGGAAAGAAATGTCTGTTCTATTCCAGCTTGTCCCAGATATTTTCTAAATACCACCAGTGAGATAGTGAAGACTAGTCATCTGGCAGCATATGGTCCTTGGTCAATGACAAAATACAAGCTGTGACATTCCCAAAGCTGTTTTTAAGGAGCTCATGAAGAGAAAAACAAAACTATATTGTCTGCAAAACACCATAACAATGTATTATTCAAGATTGTTTTGAAAAGGCTTCAACTTTGTTATTCCTTACAGGTGTGCAGTGGAGAGCATCCTGTGCTCCAGCATCAACGTGTGGCATGGAGGCTGCACAGCTGCAGAAAGAAAAGCTCTGCAGACATCACAGACGTCTACACCTCCAGATGCAGGAAGAGGGCCACCTGCATCACGAAGGACCCCACTCACCCAGCACACACACTTTTTGCCCCGCTCCCCTCAGGAAGGAGGTTGAGGAACATTAGAACCACTAGACTGAGGAACAGCTTCTACCCTGAGGCTGTTAGACTCATGAATCTCTAACCAGAATAATCACAGTGAAAATTCACAACATGTTGCTGCTGATCTGTTTCATGTTGCTGCTGATCTGTTTCATGTTGCTGTGCTCATGCGTGCTCATCCGTTCACACAGACTCATGTTCGTGCTGCTGTTCAGCGTATTGTTTTTATGCTACTAGTGCTTATTGTACATTTAGTTGATGTTGTTTTTAGTTCATATCTTAGATCTTATTGCTGTTTTTCTTTTACATTTTATTGTTGGACGTCACTGGAACTCTGTGTACATAATTTTGTTCCACCACATGTACCACATGGGGTGCGAATGACAAATAAAGAACCTTGAATCTTAACAAAAAATGATCTTAGTTTAAAACCATGAAGAAAGGTGGAGGGCAATATGCAATCCTTTAAAGAATCCGAGGCCTTTGATTACGACAAGTTTTCTTACGAGAAGCAAAACTTTGGGAACATTTTAGGGAATCAGAAATAGGTAGAAGCTGAAACTTTATTCTCTCCTGTAGATGATGAAATGTGATGATCAGCAGAAAAATCTGACACCAGTTCAGAACAAAATTTTACTGAGGAGCTGTACAGGAAAAACTTGGAAGAAAAAAGAAAAACCAAAGCACGTTTAAAAACATTGATAAAGACTTTTCAACATTTTTATATGGGTAAATGTCAGATTAAACTGTTTATGGCATGAAATGAACAATAAGTGGAGTCACAGTCCCACCTAGAGCAAACTAAAGAATGAACAAGTCTGATTAAGTTCAGGTGGAAGCCTGTAAGAACCAGCAGAACTCTGGACTGATATTTTTCGAGAAGCTGCATTAGTTCACCGAGCTTTGAGCGCATCCATCTCCTTACCCGTATGATGTTCTGACAGGTGCTGATTGGCAGACCCACCAAGCTGGTACCATTGACAGACATGATGCGGTCACCGATGCTGAGCTCACCGCAGCGCTCAGCTGGACCGCCGTGAAGGAGGTTGGCCACCACCACGGTGGGGAGGATGGAGCCCCACCCCGACTCCACCACGGCCAGACCCAAGATTTCTCCAGGAGCCTTGGTGATGGCTATCTGAACACAAGACAAGAAATTAGGATTTACAACAGTTACTGTATGTTACTCTTGACATTTCTCTCATATTTATCCTCGTTTTTTTTTTGTTCCTTCAAATATTTTGTAATTTAAAGTGGGGCAAAGCAGAAGTTTGTAAAATTCCTTTACATTGAAGTGTTATCGTAATGAAGAAACAAATACACATCATGCAGATACAAAATGACTCTGCTTACATCTCGAAGGTTCTGCGAGTCTGAAAAGTGGGCCAGGTCTCCATTGTAGAGCTCCTGACTTTCCAGGTAGTCGCTGTACTCGCCCGGCTTCAGATCTTTGGCCTTGATGCCGTTGGCCTGGAGGAACTGCTGATACGCGACTCCAAACGCCTGCCCAATAGCCTGAGCTACGATCTGAGCCTGGTAAAAACACAGAAGACAAAAAAAAAAGGCGAAGCTGACTCGGGGAAAATGCAACATTATGGAATGTACAAGTTATTTCATATAAAAACTGAAGGAAATGTATTTAAAACTAGAAAATATATTTACAGAAAAATGCAGAGGGAGTGCCAAGCTACGGATTTAACTAAAGAAGCTAAGTGTTTTAAGTTGTTTAAGTTATAACAAGATAAAATATTAGTAAAACGAGCATAACATGGGCTAAAATGAAAAGAACATCAGCCAAAAAGAAAAAGCAGCAGAACAGATGCAAAAGCTCAAATTACCAAAAACCGTAGCTACAATTATAAAAACAGATGCTGAATATACATGAGCACCGGCAACCCCCGTGACCCAAAATGGAAGAAGCGGATAAAAGATAATGGATGGATGGATGGATGGATGGATGAATGGATGGATGCTGATTATATTTGTATTTATTTTAACTTTCTTCAGTTAGGAAAAAAAAAACTACTGAGCTAAAAATAAATAAAAATCTTATTCAGGTGTTCCTTGTGCAAGACAGAAAGCATTAATATTAGCAAAACTCTCATTAAAGGTAGCCAAACAGATGCTGAAATTAGTAAAACTGCTGCAAAAAGCTAAAAGATGCAGCATAGTAGCTAAAAGCTAAAAGAAGCAGAATGGCAACTGACAGTATGAAAATGGTAGCTAAAAGCTGAGAAACGGATTTCAAAGAGAACATTGTTTTTAAAGAAACTGAAAATATCTAAACAATTTGTTGTGATTTTCATTTTAAATTAAATTAAATAAATCGAAAAGCAAAAAAAAAAATATATATATATATATATACAAAAACCAAAAAGCCAAAGCACAAAATTACAGATTGAGCAGAACGTTTTGATATAAGAATAATAAAGTAGCCCAAAGTATGCTGAAGTTGTTTCAGCTAAAAAAAAAAAACAGATGGAAGAAACTCCAAACAGGAAACCAACAGTATGAATGCTGATGCAGCAAATAATTTTTTTTTTTTTAAAACCCAGACAGACAAGAGCAACAGTGAAGCAAACAGAATTTGCACAAACAGAAAATAAAAAAGCTCTTTGTTAAATCAAACATTTGAATCAGCAGAAATGTTTCATAAAATAAGCTGAGGGAGGAAAACTGCTTGAAGAGGTGATATAACCCCTCAGCCACACACAACTTATTAGTTGCTACAAGTAACTCTACATCCTCCTATTCAGTGTTGCCACTTGTTGGAAACTGGGACAAAGGGCAGATAATTGTTTTTACTCAGGAGACCTCAGTGGCTTCCTGTTGGAATGAAATCAGACCAAGTTGAATGTTGTCCGAAAGAGAACAACCTGAGTAGAACTGAGAAGAAGTGCTCCACCGTGCAGAGCAGGAGTCTTCTAAATACTGTCTGGCACCGTGCACATGTTTGTACCATACTACTGACACGCTACAGCCATTGTGTTAAACAACAGCAGAACAGATTTTCCAGCGCAGGATTCGAACCACAAGAGCAGCAGAAGATCACATCAAATATGGCGTCAAACCTGACTTACATCTGCAGAGGAGAAGACGTGGCAGATCATTTTGCACTTCCTCTGGGCAGGATCACCGTTCTGACCTTTATGTTTCCTCCGTGCCATCAGGACCACAATGTCACCGATGTCTGCTATGTAAGAGATTGTCTGCAGAGCGTGATCCATCATGGCTTCCTGAGTGGAAACAGGAAAAAACACGACATCGTTCAAAACAAGTCTGAAGACCTGAAGACCATGAAGCTAGTCTGTATCCTAACGGAACAAAGTTTGATGCACTACTCTGGAAATTTATTTAAATACATTTTTAATCACCCAGCACCAAAGTGTGTTTAACAAAATTTCTCAAGAACAAGACAGATTGCAATAAAACGTTCAAAAAATAAATTATTGGACCTGTATCTACAACTGATTTACTTTTGGAGTCACCCCATTTCAACATGGCTAAAACAGCTAATCAACATTAGCCACCACAAAAATGGAAACACCATAACCCATTTTACAGATACTGAGCTTAAACTTGGAGTGGCAGTAGCTGAGAGTCATCCCTAACATGAACTCTGAGTGCAAACAAATCGCACAAGATTGTGAGAGACTGTGCAAAACGTTACTGTCAAGATTTGACCAAAACCTGTGGCGAGGTTATTTCAAGGAGCGCCAAGCCTACAACTGAGATATGAGTTTTACATATACTTGAATTTTTTATTGTTTTGACTATTTTTAATTTATCATTCCATGCAAAGAGAAGAACGTTTACATTTGCGGTGGATATAAGTTTAATAAAAGGAGCTAACTCTGCTCATCTTTTCCTCTGCAAATATGTTTCACCAAAAACAAACGTGTTTTCTGATCGGGAAAGTCAACAAGTGGAGAAAGGTGCAGAGGTGTCGCACTAAAAGGCCAACCAGAGAAGTATTTCAACCGAAGGAGAAAGTGAAGAAATAATCTGTCTGAAATCATCAGAAGACCTCGATTAACTTCAAAAAGAGTTGTTAAAAATGGCACTACAAAGTGAAACAAGTGTAAAACTAAACACAGAATAGAATAGAATAGAATAGAAACAGTCTTTATTGTCCCACGGATGGGAAATTCAAGTGTAACAGCAGCAAGAGATAAAAAGATTTCCCATAAAAGTTCCTAAATGTTGAAAACAACCTTCTTTCTTCTTCTTCTTCTTCTTTCGGCTTTTCCCTCTTCAGGGTCTCCACAGCGAGTCATCCTCCTCCACCTCACTCTGTCCTCTGCATCCTCTGTCCTCACTCCAACTACCTCCATGTCCTCTCTAACTGCATCCATATATCTCCTCTTTGTCTTTTTCCTGGCAGCTGCATTTCTAACATCCTTCTACCAGTATACCCACTGTCCCTCCTCTGGACATGTCCAAACCATCTCAGTCTGTTCTCTCTAACTTTATCTCCCAGTTGTTCAACCTGTGCTGTACCTCTGATGATCTCATTCCTAATCTTATCCATCCTTGTCACTCCTAAGGATAACCTTAGCATCTTCATTTCTGCCACTTCCAGTTCTTTCTCATGTCTTTTTGTCCATGTCTCTGTCTCAAGACCATTCAACATAGCTGGTCTCACCACTGTCTTGTAAACTTTTCCTTTGACATTTGCTGACACCCTTTTGTCACAAATCACTCCTGAAACTTTTCTCCATCCACTCCAGCCTGCCTGGACACTCTTTTTCACCTCTTTACCACATTCCCCATTTCCCTGGACAGTGGACCCCAAGTACTTGAAGTCCTGCACCTTTGTGACCTCTGCTCCTTGTAGCCTCACTGTTCCACCTCCTCCCTCTCATTCACACACACGTACTCTGTCTTACTATGGCTGACTTTCATTCCTCTTCTTTCAAGTGCATACCTCCACGTCTACAAGTTCTCTTCCACCTGTTCCCTGTTCTCACCATAGATCACAATGTCATCTGCAAACATCATAGTCCATGGGGATTCTTGCCTGACCTCATCTGTTAGTCGGTCCATCACCAGAGCAAACAAGAAGGGGCTCAGAATCGATCCTTGATGCACTCCCACCTCCACCTTGAAGCTGTCCGTCACTCCTACAGCACATCTCACCTCTGTCCTGCTGTCCTCATACATGTCCTGTACCAGTCTAACATACTTTTCTGCCACTCCAGATTTCCTCATGCAACACCACACCTCCTCCCTCGGCACTCTGTCATATGCTTTTTCTAAATCCACAAAGACACAATGGAGTTCTTTCTGACCCTCTCTGTACTTCTCCATCAGCATTCTCAAAGCAAAGATGGCATCTGTGGTGCTCTTTCTTGGCATGAAACCACACTGCTGCTCACAGATAGTCACCTCTCGTCTAAGTCTAGCTTCCACAGCTCTCTCCCAGATCTTCATCGTGTGACTCATCAACTTAATTCCACTGTAGTTGCTACAACTCTGTACATCACCCTTGTTCTTAAAAATGGGCACCAGCACACTTCTTCTTCATTCCTCAGGCATTTTCTCACCCTCAAATATGCCATTGAATATTTGAGTCCAAAACTTCACTGCCATCTCTCTAAGACATTTCCAAACCTCCACTAGTATGTCTTCAGGTCCTACTGCCTTCCTCTTCTTCATTCTTTTCAGAGCTTTCCAGACTTCACCCTCACTAATCTTTCCCACTTCCTGGTCCACAGTTTCTATGACCTCTACTCTTCTTTCTCTTTCATTCTCTTCATTCATTAACTCCTCAAAGTACTCCTTCCATCTTCCCGTCACACTCTCCTCACTTGTTAGAACATTACCATTCCTATCTTTAATAAGCCTAACATCCTTTATGTTAAAAACAATATATAAAGAAATAAGATATACAATCACAATAATAATGTTCAATATGTGTTGGAACATTGATAAGGATAGACAATCAATATCAATATATCAATATCAACATCAATAAAAGCATGTGGTCTAATGAATTTAGAGCGCCATACTTTTCATTGTATAAGTCGCACATTTTTGCATAAATTAGCATGCCCTGCAACTTATACAACGAAGTGACTAATATACGTTTCCCCCCCATATTTATAACCTAATTTTTGGCTGAGATCTAACAATTTCATTCATTCTGACATGGGAAATATTGAACACTACCGTTTTCAGCCACTAGAGGGTCCTCAACTAATATGGCAAGCCAAATGTCTCATTAAAATGTAAAAGTGGCTATTAATGAGACACTTGACTTGCCATACAAAGCCACCTTCGTCTCGCTCCAGAACTCCTGGATCAAACGTCAAATCAGCTGCATTTCGCCGCGCCGCCCCGGCGAAATGCAGCTGATTTGACCATTAAAGTGCATTTATTAAGGAAAAGCTCAACTGAGACACACCTTTGCTATAATTTCGAGAAAACAAATAATTGTTTTTAAGTGTTTATCTTGTTAAATTCTTGTTAAAGTCCTCCCGTGCACGCTCCTGCCAATCGATTTTTGGTAAAACACCGGCCCATGTTTCCAGGTGGTCAGCGGTGACACATAATAGATGCGACTAATACAGCAAAGCGACATATTTATGTTTTTTTTTTACTTTATGAGACATATTTGGACTGACGCTACTTACACGGCGGTGCAACGTGTACAGCGGCAAGTACGGTACCTGTGAGTCAGCAGAGAGCACTTTGATCCGTTGAGTGGAGATGAATAAATCCACTTCAGTCATCGGCTGCGACTCTCCCTCTGGAGCCTACACAAACAAAAAAGCACACTGCGTCAAAAAAATACATATTTTTTTTAAATCACATTAAACAGTAAGTTTAAATTAACGGTGCTCATCAGTTACCTACAATAAGACAAAGGGTTTGGTAGATCGGTGATAAATTTACCTTAATTCTGTCGACAGCTTCCTGAGCCTGAGTCATGCGAGCGTTTGTCGAAGGGTTCCTGTCTGATTTGATCTGAGTAGAGCCCAGATACTTAGCACCAAATATAACGCCGTCCAACAGGTCTTCAGGGTCACAAGGCCCAGGCACTGAACATTTACACAAAATAATATATAAAGATAATAACCAGAGCAAACGAGACGTTTGACAGATTTTGCTTTTGTAGAAAAACAAGCAAACTCACCATTTTTATATGACGGGTGGTCATCAGCTGCCTAAAATTGTCAAAAATAAAAATCAAATGTGCGATATGATGCATTGTCTTACATTTATTTGATTTAGGATTAAAGGATTTTTTTTTTTTTTTTTTTACAGAGGTGACATTTTTCTAAATAATGTTTACATTTTAGCTGTTTTCGCACTGACCTGTTCACTTTCTGCTGCAGAGTCGTCCTCCGGTGGCTCCTCTCCCAGCTTCATCCACACCGGCTCCGGATACTCATCATCAGGCAGGGAGGTGATGGAGTCGTCTCTCTGCCGCTGACCGTTGTGTCTCCAAAACGTCTGAGCATCCTCCCGACTGTAGGAAACCGACACAACGGCGTCCACCTCGCCTCTGTGCGGCAGACAGGAGGGCATGGGGGTAGAGGAGACCTCTGTGCGCTGCAGCAGTCCCAGCAGGTCTCTGTGGTGGCTTTGAGAGAACAGCAGGCCTGTGGTTCCAGTTTTGTCCTCTGCTAACAGAGAGGGAGCACAAGGCTCCTGCTCGGACAGACTGGGGGAGCGATCAGGTGGACCGGGATGGGTTTCTTCCTGCATTAGTTGAAGCTGAGAGAGTAAGGTGTGAATACGGCTGTGATCTTCATCGCCTGGTCTCCTTCCAGAAACGCCAACTTCCTTACTGACCTTCTTCTCACCATCTGTAAATATCTCCTGGTCATCTTTAATCCCTAAGCCTTGAAGCGTAGCCTCTTTAACTGCTCTACTGTCCTCTTCAAATTTGACATCTATGTCCTCCAGAAGCACCTGCTGGTTGTTTGTGTCAAACTGAATCAATGTGTCTCTCACAGCCAGAGGTGGAGTTAGTGATTCTCCCAGACTGTTCAAACCCAGGCTCTCAGCAGCTGGACAGACGCTAGGATCATCCAGAACATCTGGAGACCCTGTTTCACTAGAAGAATCTGACTTCCAGTCCAGAGGTGGGGGCTCAATTAGACTGAAAGAATCAAGATCTTCTGCTTCTGAATGAGCTGCTGCAGTCACACTTACTTCACCATCTGAAGCGTCTTCAGCAAGGTCCAGATCACACAGTGCACGTGCAGACGCTGAGTGATCAGCAGTGAAGCAGTCCGAGTCCATTTTGTGTCAGAGGAAAGCAGGCATCACAACGTAGATGTGTTGCAGGAGTGTCTGAAACTATCTCTGTAGAACAAAAACACCAGTACCATCATTAGTTTGCAACCAAACTTCCTGTTCATCTGCAGTAAAACTGTTAATCCTGAAAAATAAACTACAGCCCAACAAATACAACCCGCATAATAAAAACATTATATACAAGTAATCATAAAACAATGGATCATGAACCCCTTACATGTGCGTAAGGTCATTTTTTTTAGTGCACATTTAAAACTACATTGCCAAGGCACGCCCATACGTTTCACAAGCTACACTTTTAGCTTCGTCACCGTCGACTTTTCAAATATCTCAGTTTGCTGCAGCTGCTGGAGACCAGTTAAACTCTTGTCTCTTAAATTTTGAACATGGTAAAAGGAGCTGCGCAACAAATGATCTAAAAACGGTTGCAAAGTTGTCCCAAGCATCTCAAACCCTTCACAGTTTAGTTTTCACAAATCCAGAGTGCAAGAGTTGTACAATGACACGTGTGCGGTGGAAAACACTCAGATTTCACTGAGACTGAAAATTGGCAAAACATTCTTGCAAACGTCTAACAATTTTGAGCAACTAGTCCCCAGTAGTTTCAGCCTATAAAGATGTTGGCTTTATTTAGACTGCTGGAGGACAAGCTGACACATTTCTTCTTGCTGCGTTTACTCTCTCCTCACTCTCCATGTATGGACTTGCAGTTACTTCTGCCGTTAACCTGGTTTTATGGTGATGTCTCCATAAAAACTACACCCAGTCCAACACTTCTGTGTCTCTGTCCTCGGCCACTCATAATGAACCTGGAGGCTTCTTCTTGTTAAAAGGGAGTCATTTCTTTCCACTGTCACCTCCATTCTGCTCAGGTTGAGATTGCATAAAAAAAAGATTACAGTATAAGCAATCTGCAGGTTTCTTTAGACATCTATTTACTAATTGACATTTTGTAGCATACTGATTCTGAAAGTGTTGTAATTGGATTACAGTGTTTTTTTGGGTTTATGGTATGAATTTGTTACTTTGACGAATTATGTTTGTTTTTGCAACTGATGCAACTTTTAGTAATAAACTATAAAAATGTAAGAAATTAAAGTCGTTTATAAAAGCTGTTTTAATCCTCATGTTCATAATTCTTGCAAAATTGTAACAATTAGATGGGTGGTTCATAATTCAAACTAGACTTTTTGTCTTTTAAGTAAAGTCTGTGCACAGTCCAATCCCATATTTAACAACTCTTTAGTTTTACTCTGTCTCTCTCTCTCTCAGTATCAACGATACGAACAAATAAATCAGAAAAACATTTAAAAAGTGGAATTAGCTCAGCTTGGAAGTAGCAAATCAACTAGCCTAAAGCTAACAGTTAGCTTGGCTAAGTTTGACCATGAAGCAACTCGAATAAAAATAACTCTGAAACATAAAAAGGTATCAGTGGGTGAAGGGGTGTCTCTCACCAAATGTCTGTCTTTTTTTGTGTCTTTCTTTGTGTCCAGACAGAGACAACTCCTGTTGGAGCCACGACCGAAGAGTTGACGTGGTCAGGAATTTGAACCTTTTACAAAACTTCGTTTATCGTGTTAAGAACAGCCCCGAAAATGTATCATTTTCACAAAATATAGTAATAAAACATAACTTTCGTGGTGTAAATCCGATTCACTTTCATTTTTGTTGCTCTTACTGTCAAATGACAGCTTAAATTTATTACTTTGTCTATAGTTATGCTGCGTTCAAGTACTCCCGTAGCTCTCAAAATTTTCCATTTCCGCTTTGTTTTGCTCTCCGAAAAGGCCCACATTTGTATGAATAAGAAATAATTTACTCATATCATATCTAATTATTAATTAAAAAAAATAAAATGCGTCATGTAATACTATAAATGCCCCCACAGGCGTTGATCAGTTAAAACTTAAGATGCGTCAATGTTTGACTTGAAGGTAACGTCAGTCCGTTTAATCAAACGTCGATATTTCGATAGAAAAAAGGGGAGTTTTCATTGTCTTTATTCCATTTTATTTTTTTTTACACAATTAATTATTTACATTAAATTTACAATTTAAAGTCAGCTTTTTGTGCACTTAATCATTGTTAAAAAAGTTAATATGTGTTATCTAAAACAAAGAAAATCAAAATATCAAATACACAATTTAAAATATCGTGAAATTATCTTTAATTAAAATAAACTATTATTCAGCTGTTCATTTTAGAAGCAGTCTTCTTTTAACATGATCAAAAATAAAATTGTATTTACTTAACTATAGCAGGCCTATTATGGTTTGTATTTTTTTTTATAAGTAAAACAAGTATTTCTGTAATCAACAACACGTCAGAACAACTCCAAAGTTGTAAACAATTAAAAACAAGTTCAAAGTTGCTTCCTTAACAGTATTTACACGATTCCTGCACTGTACTTGTTGCAAGATTACTGAGCCTCGTTGCATTACAGAAAGCTTGTATTCTAACAAAACAGCTCGTGTCATTTGCTCTGGAAAAAAAAATCTAACCCATGTGCCGTTAGCAGACTGACGTATAGCCTGAAATGACATATGAACACTTTTATCCAAACGTAATGGTTCTAATTATTAACAATCCCTAAAATGATTGGATTGAGAACATAAAAAAAATAATACTATGATCAAGTTATGCACAACAAGGTCAGTTAAATGAAATATGACAACACTTTAAAAACTGCAAGTTTGAAAAACGTCAATTTTATGGCATGTTTCAGTTTGTTGGTCACGTCTCTCCTTCACTGTGACGAGGACTCTGCGCTGTCTGACTGCTCACTGTCGCTGCTGTTCATCTGAATCAAACCAATCAGAGAGGAGACGGTGCCCAGCAAACCAACCAGCCAGCTGGGGAATCGTCCCGCCCAAAGGAAGCCGGGCGGCATCCAGTGAACGGCGTTGCTGAGGTCAGCGGTGCTGCTGAGGATGGAGAGCAGCTCCCCTTGCATCTGCCTGCAGAGCTGAGAGTGTCTAAAAGAGAAAACAGACAGATTCATCAGGTTGGGTAGTTTGAGGTGGGAGAAACACACATGTAATATTAGCTTCCTTAGATAGATAACTTTACTAATTGGCTTTTCTATGGATGTGAATGTTCCTGTTCAGTGCCCTGAGACGACTTTGTTGTGATTCGGCGCTATATAAATAAAATGAATTGAGTAGATAAGGGATTATTCTATTACAGAGCTTTATCTTGCTATCTATATTTATACATATATACAAGACTGAAAGGCTCAACAACTCTTTAAAACTTCCCACTATGCCATCAGATAGGCTAACTGTAGTTGCACTGCACTGATAAACACCTGCTGCCTCCTCCGTCCTTCTCGTATTTCTTTAACTTCCTCCTCAGCAGCACCAGAACTCGAAGAGATCTGCAAAAAAAAAAAAAAAAACAACATGACTTTTGAATTCAAATTGAAAGTGTTCGTTGGCTGGTTAAAGCTCTAATATACAAAATACTTCAGATGTAGCTGAATTTACAGTAGCTTTTAAATATAATCTGCCTTTTATACATAAGAAATGTAGGTAGCATTCTTTGAAGGGATGCATCTCGACCCTTGGCATTACGTGCCAACGTTTTGCACGATCTGTTAGAGCTTGGATTATGTGCTGCTGATGACGTTCAGCTCCAATCACAACACATTTTACCACGATATTTGTAAGACTTACCGAGTTACAGCCATGTTTGAGTTTGTTAAGGCTGATTATCTGCATCTTGAATCAGGTTAATTCTAAAAGTTTATCAGCTGGAGATGTATATCCAGTCATTACTTTGAGGCTTTCATTGAAACCGGTTCATGAAATATTTTGCTAACAGACAGATCACCGAACACACGGGCTCACCCGTCTTTTATGAAAGAAGCAAACCCACTCGTCAACACGATAATCAGTTTTCACATTTTTTACGTTTTCTTTGTCAGCAATCAGGTTTACAGACTCAGAGACTTTGGCGTTTAAAATGAGGTAATTCCTGTAGAAATGCTGCAATAAACGCTACAATTCAAAGTTTTTTTAAATTTAATTTTTTATTGCCACTAACAGCAATGTTAATTTGACTTGTTTTTTCTGAATATTTGTATGGCCAAGTGTGATTTTTTTATTTGCTGATCTAATTTTTCCTTATAGTTTTTTTCCGTTTTAAATCTTCTCTACATAAAAATCTGGAAACATTCAAATGTGACAAAAAACAGGAAGCACATCTGATGTTTGTAAGACAATGCAAGCACCAACGTATCGCTTGCAGTTTTCATTTAAACGTAAGAGCCACAGCAGTGATAGTGATAGGACTGTCGCTCGTGTGCATCTGAACCATGGGTCGGTTGTTCTGACGTGCTCGTACCTGAGGATCCCCAGCAGCAGTGAAGTTCCCCACAGCACCGTGCTGAACAACCACCACTTATCAGACCTCGCTTTGATGAGCTCAGCGTCAGCGGCCCAGGCCATGTGTTCACACGGGTAGTAGAGCTGGTCAGCCACATTCGTCAGTACTGATATCCAGCGAACGCCTGCATCCTCCTCCTGAAATATTGAAAGTTAAAGCTGGACATTTCTGGACAACGCATAGGCTGATGTGTTCAAAGGCATGTATTTTGAACCAGTGAAGACGATCAACACTTTAAACCGTTTTCACGATGAACTACCTAATTACAGCAAACTAATCCGTCTCTCTGGGAAACAATCGAGTCATGGTGACTTGTGATGCGAGTGTTTGACGCACCGAAGCACCAAACCCATAGCCGTGGGAGTACGCCAGCATGGAGAGATCATCGAACAGTCTCAGCACCGTCCTGCAGTGGCTGAGCTGAGCGGAAAACAGCAGTAAACTTTTCCCAAGTTGCTGGGAGGAAACATTTGTCTTCAGGGTCAGAACACCTCCAACAAGCTGCGAGCCGTAACAGACGGTCCTGATCTGCACAAACACACAAAAATAATCATTAGAAGCTCAAACAGCATCACATACAAATATGTCCAACATTTATAAATAGTAAATAAGGTCACAGGGAAATACGTTTAGATATCAGAATATAAAAATTGACCTTAAGGTTATAAAATGAATAAAATCTAATTTAAAGTGTGCAAAAATGCACATCTCTTTATTTATTCACGTCGGTTTTACTACGACGACTTAGTTTTTACCTCACACACAAAGTTTTACACTTTGGCCACATTTATGAATGAAAAAAACAACAATTAGGACATGTTAGTGTAACTGGCTTGTGCGTGTGTAACTGACAACGACCTAAAACATCAAAAAATACATTTCAGTAACCGATGATGCGACTCACGGCTTTATCTCTTCCTCTGTAGGACTCCAGCAGTCGGACCAGAGACTCTAAACACTGCTGCATGTTTGCTCACACATTCACAACACAGAAAAATAAAACACTGATCATTTCTGCAGCTCTGACGGACGGACTTTGAAACAGGAAGTTTTACTCAAAACAGACCAGAGTAGATGATCGTCGAGTTCACTCTTCTTCTTCTGTTATTTTATTGGTGGATTGCAAGCAACGTTCAGGTGCCTACCGCCACCTACTGAGCATGAGTGTGTAACCTCACAACCTCCTTTCCCTATTTAGATAAGTATGGCTTACCCCCCAGTCTCATTATTATCACATCATTTCTTCTATCTCTATAATTCTTTATCACTACTGAGTTTTGTATTTTGAGTAACATTCTTCCTTTCTCATCTTCATTCCACTTTTTCTGCCAATTTTCCATTTATTTTCCTTTAATTATTGATTTACCCTCTCCATTCCCTAATGGTATATTAACTGTTATTTTACCCTTCAAAGCCTTTTTTTTTTTAGCAAGTTAATCTGTTCTTTCATTCCCTTCCACCCCCTCATTCAACCTTTATTTATACAGGTTAATCCCATTGAGCCTCGGGGACTCACTGGAGAAAATAGTTGAGTCCCAGTTGAAGTGCTTCCTGGAGGATCATGCCATCTTAGAGCTATTCCAATCTGGCTTTAAACCTCTCCGCAGCACTGAAACTGCCCTACTGAAGGTCTTTAACGACATCTTCTTATCCACAGATACTGGTGATTCTGTGCTGCTTGTCCTATTGGACCTCACAGCCGCCTTTGACACCATCGACCATGAGATCCTCATTGCTAGGTTGGAGCAGTGGGTGGGCATCACAGGGTCAGCCCTCAATTGGTTCAGATCCTACCTCGCTGACAGATCCTTTTGTGTCTCCATCAAGGATTTTAGTTCTGCAGCGGCAGAGCTTAAATGGGGGGTTCCGCAGGGGTCCATCCTGGGTCCCTTCCTATTCTCTTTATAACTGCTGCCACGTGGTGCTATTTTCCGGAAACATAACATACCCTTTCACTTCTACGCCGATGACCGTCAAATTTACTTTCTCCTAAGACACATTGGTACATGCTCTATTCAACCTCTGCTTGACTGCCTGGCTGACATCAGGGACTGGATGGCTTTAAATTTCTTAAGTTTCAATGAAAAGAAGTCTGAAGTCATGTTGTTCCCTCCCAATGACACGATCACACACCACTGCATCGACCTTTCCGCTCTAGCCCTGTCAGAAAAACAGAGTCACAAATCTGGGAGTGATAATGGACCCTTCCCTGAAACTTAATGCTCCACTTGATAATATAAATTAAATTTCATTAGAATTTGTTTTGGGTTTGTTTCAGATGTAATGGACATGGGGATGAAAAACAAATTAGAAAACAAAGCAGAAAAGTGAGAGAAGGGTTAAAAGGTAAAGAAGGAGATAGGAATAGTGGAGAGAGAGAGAGAGGGATAAAGAGAACACAAATCAACATCATTGAAGTCCACCTCTAGACCTGTAGAAAGAAAAACAAAACAAAAACAAGACAAAACAGAGAAACCACAACAACAAACAACATATATAATGATACTTACAACATCATTAGAAATTATTTTATATAGTACATGGTAATGCAAGATGTATTTAGTGGCCACACCAATACAAATGAGTGTGTATCTGATAAACACCTGACTCTAAACACCTGTGTGAGCATGCTTGTCACTATAAGGTTTCTCCATAAAAATGTTCAATAGTGGATGTGGGAACCCACAGACCCGTCCCCACAGGACACAAAGGTAACACAGGGAAGACCGGAGTCACAGACACACAGCGGTCCCCAAGCCCGGAGCTCCGCGAGTCCCCCAACAGGGACACCCACACCCCCCAGAGAGAGAAGCAAAGGGAAGCCCCGGGCGACCCCCAGCAACCACAATTCAGAAACCCCAGGAGGCTGCAGCGACGAGTCCACAGGCCCCGCCGGCAACCCGCCCCTCCAAAGTAGATCCGGCCATGGACACCGAGCCCCGAGGTCATATCACCCCCCAACAGAGGCCCAACAGAGCCAGGGCACCCAGGCCCCGGTAGGCAGCCACCAGGGCTTGCACACACCCCACCACCCAGCCCCAGATGCTGAGAGCCGCCAATGCACCAGTGCAGGGGGGCCCACCACCAGAGGGGAGCACGACAGGGGGAAGTAGACCCCACATTAAATGAGGGGCCCAAATTGATACAAGAGAGGGGACCACCTAAAACCCAACCCGAGACATAAACAGACACACAAAGACAGCCCGTCCATGCGCCCCACCCACCCGACAGCGACCGCAAGTCGGTCCCAGGCCGAGGGCCAGAGCAGCAGCAGCTGAGGAAGGCCGGCCCAACGCACTAATGATCAGGCACCCCTACAGCCCCACACCACAGGCCTGGAGAGGCCCCGACATGCCACCCATGCACCCCCCCCCCCCCCCCCCGCCCCCCCCCCCCCCCCCCCCCCCCCCCGCCACCACGAATGTCACATCAGGCCGACTAGCCAGCACCCCGTCAAAGCGAAGCCACACCCCCGACTGCCGCCATACACCACCATTGCCCACACACACACACACACACACAACCACAGCTGACCCCCCGCCGGAACCCGGCGGCCACCCCAGCCAAAGGGCCGGCCATCATAACCAGGAACCCTGATCAAAAGATCCAAACAACCCAGGGAGAACCGGAGCACCGGCCCCACCCCCAATTGCCCCCCAAGAGAGCTATGTTGCCTGGGGCAACCCCTGGTATGTTTTCCTATAGCAAACAGACCCCAGGGGAGGGGCCAGACCCTTGATGAATGAAACAGCACCAGAAACCTCACCTGAAGAAGGAAGATTAAGGCACCTACCTGGTAATAGGGAACTGGGAGGGACGGTCTCACTGATCTGAACTCGAACAATGCTCTGTTAATGGACTTCTGTGCTCAGTGTGGGCTGTCCATAACAGACAAGTCCGAGCATAGCGTGGTCCATGTTGGTACCAGACCACCTTAGGGCAAAAGGCAATGATTGACTGTGTTGTGTCAATGACCTGTGGCTCTATGTCTTGGTGATGAGAAGGGCAAAGCTGTCAACTGATCACCACCTGGTGTTGAGTTAGATCTAAACCCAAGCACATAGTGAGGATGAACTAGGAAAGTCTGGTATAGCTCCCTGTCCCTACAATCTTCAACTCACACATCTGGGAGTTTTTCACACGTCTTGAAGGAGGTCAGGTACATGGAATCTGAACGAGATGGGTTCAGGGCCTCTATTTCAGATGCAACTTTCAGGAGCTCTGTCCTGAAGGTCATTGGTGCCTGTCGTAGTGACAACTAAAGGACCTGCTGGTGGACATCAGCTGTGACGAAGGCCGTCAAGCTAAAGAAACAGGCCTTCAGTGCTTGGCTGTGCCATGAGGACTCGTGAAGCAGCTGACAGGTACAGGGTGGCAAGAAGGACTGTGACTTCTGTGAACATGGATGCAAAATCTCATGCATGGGAGGAATTCAGGGAGGCCATGAAGAAGTTTTGGTTGGCCTCAAGGAGGTTCTGGCATTCAGAAAAGGAACGTGCGCCCTGTCCCAGACTGTGCTTGGTTTGGGTGGAGAACTTATCCAAACTAAGAAAAATGAGCAGTGGAAGGAGCACTTTGAGGAGCTACCTAATCCGTTCACTAATAAATATCAATGCCAATCAAAAAAATCACATCATTACGGTCACCGTTTACTGTAATTTTACGGTGAACTGGTCTGAGTCGGTCCAGTTTCGTAAAATAAATAATCTAATGGGCAAAATGGTAAAATTGCAGTCTGTACCATACTTTGATTTAAAAACAACAACAACCTCTGAAATAACTTCAATTACGTTTTCTGAATGTATCCATTTAAATCCTGACCCGTTGACGGTAGAAATGATTGTGATAAATACTAGTAAATACTTCTGGTTGGTTCATTCAGTGGTCTTTACCAGTTGTCAATGTATTACTGGGAAAATAAATAAATAAAGATGGTCATGACAGTGGCACTGTAACTAGACCTTGAATAATCAAAAATCTCTGCCCAACCTTAAAAATTAAGGTCAGTTGGTTCAATTGGTAAAGAATAAAATAAAATACATCAAGACAAACCAGAAAAATTGCAGCACTTCTAAACAGCTGAAACAACTCAATTAATTTACACTGTTTGAATGTATCCTTAATCTTTACCACTCCGTTAGAATGGATTCTGATACCACTTTATTCATTTTACTGAACCACAAGCTTGGGATCATGGTAGAATTCTTGATTTTTGTTAACCATTTCTAACAGAGTCTTTCTTGACACTCAATTATAAATAAACTGCACAGCATTCTGTAAAACTTTTTTGGAACCGGACGTTTCCCTGGAACTTGTATATTATATTCCTGAAGGACTGTGCATTTGCCGGGAACATCGAGGGCAGCGGAGTCTGATTCAGCTGCATCTACTCTTCATTAATACTAGTACTGGGTGGCTTGATCCAAGTATCGATAATATCGGCTGTTCTTATCCTTATAGTTGTATTGATATTGATAAATAACAGTGTAAAAGTATAACTATAACTTGTCAAGAAGACAATCAGTAAGAGTTCCTACTAAGTTATTTTATTCAATGGCTATAACAGGGTTAAAAGTATTGTTTTCACTAGTTTAATATTATAACACTAAAAATTTTACCCCAAATAATACTAAATTACAATGTTTACCATCAATATCACTATATTTATTTTGCTGTCATCCCTGAGACAAGAATAAAGAATAAAAAACAGGAGTTATATTGAGAAACAAATAAACTGAATGGTAACAAAATGTGATACATTTGAACATACACACAGAAACACCTTGTCCGTGTTTATGTCAAAACCTTCATAAAGACCGTCTATGGTTCATGTGTTCATTCAGAAGTCATCATCACTTTCCTCCAGCAGAGGGGGTCTCCCACCCCCCCTGGAAGGACGGTTGCTCTTCGACAAAGAGCCGTCCAAACGGTCATCCTCCAAATCCTTGCTCTCCTCTTCCTCCTCCTCCTCACCTTCTTCATCATCCTCGTCCACATCAATCTCACTGTCTTCACTCTGGAACAAACAGCAACAACCACAATACTGTAAATACTCACAGGATGACGTTTGTTCGTCACTATCTCACTCAAGATATTCTAATCACTGATTAACAAGACTTTCAGGGCAGGAAAACACATACAGTTTAAAAAAAAATCCATCTTAAACTCTGAATTTACATACATTTGAAAATACTGTAATACCATTGTTAAAAAAAACACTTTATTGCCACTAAAAACAGTTGTGTCATACACATGAGAATCAGCTTCTTAATGGGGAGTTTTGAGAATGGATTTTTTTTTTAAAACAACAGGAGGAAAACGTAAACTGAATGTTTTTCCTGCACAAACCTTTACACTCTGCTGTTTTTTGGGATGAAGGGCCGACCTGTTGGGGACTGCTAAAAACACCTTATGAAATTCAAGTGTAGGGAAATGTCACAACAAAAAAACAGTAAATGAAACGATAAAGATGACGATTCAACACAGAGTTAAATTTTAAATCAAAGTGCCAAAAACTGATGGTAGTAAACGATAAACTACAATTTCGTTGACTGAAAATATGAAATCTATAAAATAAGCAGGACTTTTTTGCAGTGTAAAGTATTTATTAAATTTAAACAGAAAAGACTTTGAATCGGCTTCACATAAAAAACAAGGTGACGCAAAGAAATAAGAACTAGTATAAAGTCAAGGACAATACTGACCTCATCACTGTCACCACCCTGCATGTTACCAATAAAGTGTCCTCCTCTCCCTTGGTAGGAAAAAAGAACAAGCAGCTATGAATTTATGAGAGTGAAAAAGTCTGAGGATGAAGATTAATCTAAAGTTCTTTACTCAGACATGTTCCAGGTCTCAATAAAATGAAATGCAAGTATCAAGTATTTCTACCTGCCATGAGGCCATTCCGTGTGGGTCGGGGTCTAAAGGGCCGAGATTCTTCAAGGTCGCTGTCTGACCCTTCGTCGTCAGGAACCTCAGAGTCCGAGTCCTCATCTTTCACTGCCAGAGAGAACAACATTTTTGGAGATGGACAAACAAGTTGTTTTCATTTGCTCCCAGCGTCTGTACGTGTGTTTGGTTTTCTCACAGGAATCTTTCAGGAGAGCTCGCTCCTCCTCCTTCAGTTTGTGCTGCATTACCCTCAGATTGTTTTCAGCTTCCTGCAGAGCGCACAACACAGTCTGTGTTGAATGCAGAAGTTTCAATCTGCAGCTCAACCTCCTTTGAAGCAAAAGAGTGGCCATTTCTCTGCACTCAGCATACCGTTCCTAACTTTCTCACCATTGTTGCCACATTAGTGCTTCTTAATCAAATTAACCCAGGTTATGAATATTACAGCGATGAAGTAGTTATATCTTTTCCAAAATGTATCTTTTTAAATTTCGTTTTAAATAGAGGATTCTCAGCATGATTCAGTGTTCTTGATATCATATCACAGTCCACACACCTCAAATCGTTCCTGTTCCAGTCTGTGGTATTCATCCAGTTGAGACTCCAGGAAGCTGAGGTTTCGAAACTTCTCCACGAACATCTCATAATGCTTCTGCAGATCCTCCTCTATCTTCTCATATTCATCCATGAATGCTGGCCTAAGAGTTTACGGATAACCACATTTTTTTTATTTGCTACTGTTCTGTTTAAACACTTCTTTTAATTAAAAAGAAAAATTAACTTTGCAAAATGAATTAAAACAAGTCGTAATTTCACTTTGCCACCTTTCACGTCACAAACGGACCTGACACTCTTCAGGGTCTGCAGCCTCTTTTGATACCTCTCCAGCTCTTGTTTTTTCTTCACGATCTTGGCATCCAGACTGTTCTCATCTGAGACAATATTATTCAGCATCTCTTTGTTCTTTTCTACGTTTTGCTTAAAAAATAAAGAAAATCAAAATAGAGCAACAGGTTCCGTGCAACAAAACAATAAAGATAAAAAGCACACTATGTGCAATATTTAAGGTCAAAGAAATGGAAATAAAACAGAATACTGACCAGAACCTCCTTGATGGCAGCTCTCAAGGCTTTTTCAATCTCGTTAATATCAAGCGGTCGAGCGATGGCAGCATTTCTTTTTTCCTGTAGGTTTCACAGTTAAACACAAAACGATGCATTCTGTAAGTCGTTGATATCAGACAGACTGCTTTACATGTAACTGTTTTCAAAATGCTGCTGCTCTCATCTGATAATACTTTATCCTCAGAAAACCAGGCCCCTCTGCGCCCTCTCTCACAGGAAACTAAATATGTGCTTAAACATTAAACAGAGATAAAACACTTTAAGTCCAATTTGTGTTGATTAAAAATATATAAAAATTTAAGCAATCATCTTTATAAAACAAGATGTTTTCGTTGCTTAATGTTGTAGATCTTAACGGTGTTTCCCTCACCCTCAGGTCAACCTCTTCTCCCAGTAAATCGTACAAAGATGCTCCTTTGGATGTGATCTCAGACGCCAGCTGACGGGCTGCTTTAAGGTCTGAAATCTACAGTAAAAACAAAGTCAGATCAATTCAGCGCACGCATGTGGACAAGATTTCAAAAGGAATACCATTTGCAAAAAACCAAACAAACAGCAAATTATTGAGCTGGAAGAACATTTCTTTTTTCTATTAAACTGTTGAATTTATAAAGGAAGTGTTAACTGAATATTATGAGTTTGAAAGCACGTGTGTGGGTATATTTGACAAACAGATGATGTTCAAATTAAGTAATGCAACATAAAATACTATAACTAAAGCAACCTGAACGTGAGACACATTAACAGCTTCTGAACTCCACAGAGCATTTACATCTCACATCTTATAGTTTGGAGTTTGGGATACAAAAACAGTAAATGACCCAAGACATAGATACCACAAGTACTCTGAAAGGGTCTCATAGTATATAAGCTAGAAAAACTTTATTATTATTGTTGTTCTGTAAGTTTTCCAAATGAAACTATTTGGCTTGTTTGTTTCTATCATTTTCCACAGCAGCTTGACCAAAGACATTAGACCATAGGGACTTCAGCTGCCTTCAAGGAGTGTGAATCTGCCATATTGCTTAGGAAGGCGAGGTCACATCTAGACAGAGACCAGATCAGTAAATTGTAGAGATGTTGTTTACATTTCTGCTTAGAAGGCATTGGCATTTAAAAATGGTTATTGTTTTGCTTCATAACATACAAGTCACTGTTATGACAGTGTTTCCCCTACCATTATACAAGCGGGGTGCTCCACCCAGTCAACAGAACTGAGCACCCCGCCTACCAAACCAAATTGCACCCCCACCCACCCTCCCCCCCAGCACTGACATAGCACTAAGCTAGCGGCGTGAAATACAGGCTCCCTAGCTAAAAAGCCAAAGGCAGCACTCACGTTGCCTTTTCCCTAATGCTGAACGCCCCCCCACTAAAAACTGTTAGCACAATCTGCGCTCAGACATGTGTCCCCCCCCCCCGTCATCAAAAATCATGGATGAGATGAGCACCCCACCATGGCAAGTTAACTAGAGGAAACACTGTATGAGATTATAAATATGAGCTTTTAATATTGTATTTATTCAACTATGTATAATTTTCTTTCAATTCTTTTAGTTTCCAGTTTGAATGTCCCAAATTTATTTTCTTAAAGTCTTCACAGCTTTCTAAAGAATGTATAGATAACCAAGTATAAGATGTTTATTATGTGTACTGTATGTGTGCAACTTTTATTATGTGACTATTAATCATTTTAATTGCTTTTATTATGACTGTATAATTGTTTTATTATGTGTACTGTACAGCACTTTGGTCCTGTGGGTGTTTAAAATGCTCTATAAATAAAGCTGGTATGGTATGTTTTAGACATAATAAACACATATTAAACGCACCCGTGAGCCAAGGTCAAACTTGAACTTGCTTTCTTCTTCCACTGTGTCCTCCAGAGCCCCCTGCTTGGTTTTCATGGCGCTGTACAGCATGGAGGTGATCTTCAGCATCTCCTTCACTGCGTAGCCATCCGCTTGGTAGAGATTTTTGGTGTTTAACTTGATGTGAGCCTTTGTTGCCTACAACCATGTTAGACAATGGTTAAAACAGAGTAACGGGATTTTAATTTGAATGAATATAGAGATTAATCTGTAAAATGATGTCACCATAAACTGAGCCACAGACTTGATGAAAAATACTCGGTCTGACTCTGTATCCACCTCAGTGGGAATATCAATGTGAGGTTCATACCTGCAAGAAGAAACAGGAAACAAATAGCAAAAAATATATTTTTATATGCTATATTATTTTATAGTCCCAGCAGAATAACAAAGAACCAGGCAAGGTGAAGTAAAATGACACAACAAGAAATTGACAGCTGAATTAGCAGCTTTTTATTTTTATAATGCCCATTTCAAAAGCTCAAGTACCTCTTCACAAGCCATATGAGGATTTCTGCCACCAGGGCGAAGTTAGGTGTTCTGAAATTCTCCATGGATATTAAGCGAGGGTAGCCCAAGGCCCTCATCATTTCAGTAAAATCTGTCAAAAACATCCAAATGCGAATGTGTGAATTCAACAATATATTGTTTTCTTCATTATATGTGAAGAAGAGAGCCGGCTTTACTTACTTCTAAGGTCTCTGAAAGACATTTTCCACTGAAAGAAAGAATTAAAAGAAAACGTAGTTAGTTCAGAAAAAGCTGTTTCCTGCACTGTCACATGGTTCCTCTATGTGTTCAATTACTAGTCAGTTTACTAGTCTAGTATCTACTGTATTTAGAAAAGCTAAATTTAGTATTTTTATTATAGAAAGCCGGCAAAACAAAATATTATTTGTTGATTTGGATTTCGCTGAAAAGTTACATAAAATAAGCAATGGTTTGTATGAAGACAACCTCGGTTTACCTGTTTATCTTCAGCTGTGGTCCCGCAGCCTCAGGCTAAATAGCTTTTAGCTATTAGCTGGACGTTAGCAGCAAGCTAACGTTTTGACTCACCGGGGACGAAAACAAGTTAGCCTCTAAAATAACACAATAACGTTTCTTTAAGTAACTAGTTAATAGAGTTACCTAGTTAATATTTATTAACAAGGTTTTGTTTCTTGCTATCACTGTGTCGGAGCTACGTTACTCCGTCCGTGGCTTCTTGGATGGTCGCCATGGAAACAGATTCGTGCTACGGAAAGTCAACGAGGCCAAAATACTTGGACGGACGTTTCAAGTGTGGAAATGTCTTTACTAGAATTTAAAAGGTGTTGGATTGTGTGGTTTTAATTCATTTAATATAAATAGCAGTTTCATAACTCAAAAAAGTCGAAGTGTGCACATAAATATTTAGTTTACTATCCACTTTATTGGTGCGTTTAAGAAATTAAAACACAAACCAATGAAGTTTAAGGATCTAATATTCAGTATTTTCAATAATTTCGTTGAAAAGTATTTTATTAGAAATTTATTGTTTTTTATACATAGGAAATATATTATTTGTATTATTCATTAAATAGGTTATAATGTATATCTATATATGAAAAACACCAAAAAAACACATTAATATCAAATATGGGTTTTAGGTCACACAAAACACAAAAAACCTCACTAGAGTTTGCAAAATGCTTGTGTAGTAAGCAAAATCATATTTTAAGTTAGCATCCTCAATATGAGCTGTTTTTATCTATTTTTTTTATTATATCACACAAAGCCCATATTACCTGCATTACTGCATCATGACTAAATACAAAAATGTTGACTCAAGTGGATGTTTTCCGTGTTTGAAGGAGACATTTCCCTTTCTGTGTAAAAGGTTTCTTCAGTCCTCATAATGGCTCAAAAAAATTCAGGCCTAAAAGTTACATGTGTTACTTTATTTTTTGTTTTGATTCTCTGTTCTCCTGATTCCTTTAGGAGTGATCTCAGCAAGCCATCTACCTTCAACTCAACCTATTTTAACACACAGCCACACAGCTGTGGCTGAGTGGTTAGAGCAGTCATCCTCAAATGGGAGAGATGTGGGTTTGATTCCACCAGCAGTCACATGTTGAAGTGTCCTTGGGCAAGACGTTGAATCCCTCATTGCCTCCGATGTGTCCCATCGGTGTATGAATGTGATCTAAAGCACCGATTAGTCTCTACAGATTCAGATTAGATTTGTAAGATCTAGTAGAGTGCTGTGAATGGGTATGAGGGCACATATTGTAGTGTAAAGCACTTTGAGTGTCAATAAGATAGAAAGGTGCTATAAGTACAGTCCATTTACCATTTACACTCTTCTATCACCATATCTTCCTTCAGTACATCCACAGACCTCTCTGTGGTCTTTTTTTAAAATTCCCCCTGGCATGTCAATAAATTTCCTGTAACATATCCACAACCCTCCTCTGCACAAGTACAAAACATGTAAGCCTCAGCTCTTTAATTTTGACTCAAGATAAGTGTTAAATGGCATACTGTCAAGATGAGTAGTTATATTATTCAGAAACGTGTTCCTAATAATTGAAGCCATTCCCTGAAAGGGTTTATTTACATTGTCAGTAGTCTCAGAGTCCCATGTTCACATTTGTATAATTTTATTTACATAAAATTGAGAAAAACTAATCAGTTTATAAAATACAACTAAGATAAAATACAAAGAATGCAAAAAGAAGACATGCAGTCTCAAGTTAAAACACTGATTACACGTTTATAACTAATACAAATGCACCAAAACAAAAACTAGTCTTGTGAAATGTTAGGGGCATGCTTTTTGTTTTATATTTTTGGCTTAAATCACATATGATGCCACCAAAACTAGTGATACCATGTACTTTTTTATATTGTGGTGGACTTTTATCACTGGATATTTTCTAGCAACGTGACTGTAGTTGCAGTACTCTCTGTGACCACTGTGAGGCGGTACTTCTCAATTAGCTTTGTACGGACGCAAACTTCCGGTTCTTAACGCGTCATTTATTTTTTACATATCGTTTGTGTAGCCTGGTTGCTATCACTGTCTTCAGCCTTCTTATGTGACAAAAAAATATATTAGATTTTTTTTCTTAAGTTTGAATTTTCAAACAAAGATACCGGAAAAAGCTATGAACGTATTTGGGCACGTGGGGCTTGACTTTGCGCATGCGCATTGCTATAAACATGTACAGTACGCAGAACATGATGGAGCAACCTGGAGAGCCCGCTCACAGGAACAGCCTGAGCAGGCACGAGCCTCCTGCCTGCGGCCTGCACAGTAAACGCGTCAAAGAGCTGGAAAATGCTGCCCTGCAGACTACTTTAATATCTCAAATGGAGAAAGAATCCGGAGCGGACGCCGGGAGCTTGACGGAGCAGCAGTCCGGGCAGGGTGAGCAGTCGAACGGCTTGTCCTTGGACCACAGGCCGGTCCAGCCGCAGCTCAGCGCGGAGGAAACGGAGCCGGGGACAGACACGGCCAAGCAGCGGGTCGAGGAGGAAAGGACGCTGACGGACCATTTAAACAAACGACTCCTTTCTTCGTTTCTGGAAAAACTTAATGAAAGGGACCTGGCGCTCCCAGGCGTCCAGCGCCTGGACTGCGCTGTAGCGGACGAAGACTCGAACAGGGCCGGGGACGAGTGGTGAAGAAGCACCGGTCTGGAAGTCATGGAGGAAAGCACAATCTGACAATTACAAGGACAGAACTTGATTAAACAAAGGTTGAAACTAGGGTATCCGGGAATGATGTTAGAATGCTTAAATTATTAAGAACTATGCAATAAATAAACACGATGCGATGTAAAGTCATTAATTACACATTTATTTGGACGCCATGTTGGATGCTGCCTGCTGCGTTTGTGTTGTTCCCAACATTTACCACTAGGTGTCAGTATTCGCAAAAAATTGATGGATTATTTTCATGGCTGGATTAAAATGAGGGATAAAGATGATTCGTATCTTATTAAAGTGAATTTTTAAAAAGCATACATTTTGTAGATATGCATTGCATCAAACTGCCATCTCAGTAAAAAAAAAAAAATTACATTAAATATATGTAACTGGGACCCTGTACACAATTTTGTTCCACTACGTGGTGCATATGACAAAGAACCTTCAATATATATATATATATACTACCATGTATAATAAAATAATTGATATCTACCGGTACATCATTCTTCAGAACTGAAGAATAAACGTTTCAACAAATAAACCGTCCAGAGGACCTGACTCAACCTTGTTAGATCATAATGCAAACTACAATTCTGAGTAATTTGTAGACATTTTTGTGTGGGTAAATTAGGCAGTAGTAGCCATTTTGACTCCCATTTGTTGTAGATGAACATGCCATAATGAAGTTTCATTAAAATCTGCAATAATTCTTAAAATAATTTCCTAATAGACCACTCTGACTGATACAATTAATGCTAAGTTTTAAGAAAATACGTTGTGAAATGCACAACACTTGAGTATGTGTTCAGGATGAACCTCAGTTTTTACCACAGCAGGTTTCAAAAGGCTGTGGTGGCAAAAAGGTGATCAGTACTACATGCTTTTCCATGTGTAACAGATAAATAGACAAAAACATGGTTATTTCTCTTTCACTTCAACGAGCACCACTGAGCCCAGTCGTTATTTAAGGTTTGTGGAATTCAAGAATGAAAGCAAACGACAAGGCAATCTGTGGAATACAGTATACGTATTTATTATAGACTTATAAAGTTTTTTCTTTTGAATGTAATATGAACAACTTGAGCTAGAAAAAAAAACGTCTCCAAAAGACCTTCAATAATTAAAAGTTGTGGTATTGTAATAAATGTTACGAAACAGCAAATTTGCACAAAAAGCAAATATTCAGACTATAAACATGTGATAGTGATACCCCTTACAGTGTGTTTGAGCTTAACTTTCATTTGTAATAAAATAAAAAGTTTAGCTTTTTTCATGACTTTTTACAAATGTTAACCTCAGAATGCAAGGCCAAGCTTCAAAAAGCAAAATGTGAGAGATATTTGTTAGTTTGGCTGCAGATGTGCCTTCACATTAAATTCAACCTTGTTGTCTTTTGGTTTTAATAAACATATTCTGGTTAATACCATTCATGCCACTTTGGCAACACATTCTGCAGCACAAGTTGAGTCCCTTCTTCTTTTTTTTTTTTTTTTTTAAATAAAAGAACCCTTTGAATGGAAGCTGGGCTCCTTTGAATAAAAGCATTATTGCAACCATTCAATTCACGGTACAAAATGTGGTAACGAGTTGAATTACTGTTTATGAAGACGGTTTAAACTCAATCTTCCTGTTCCCCGTGGTGCAGCTGTGAACAAAGAACAGGTGCACATTGCTCTGATATGAAACACCCCAGAATGAGAGAACTCTTTCATCGCACCTGAAAGTGTCTGATTACAGCCCATGGCTCTAAGAAATCATAAAACTAACTCCAGTCGTGGATCAGGTTTCCCGCAGACATAAAAATCAAGAACATATTCAACCAAGGAGATGAACAGGAGAGGTGTCGGGAACTCACTGTAAATGCTGTCACGAGAAAGGAAATATGTTGATGGTGTTTTAATGAAATGCAAAACATGTATTTTATTGTTACTTGTACAACACGTCCTGTCTGTGCAGGTCCATCAAAGGTGCTGCCTGTAGTTTCTCTGGCATTCTGCCACCCTGAAGACAGACAAAAATGTTGTTTTAAATTACCCGTTGTAACAAAACGCTGTATTTTTTAATTAAAGTCCAACATTCAAAGTGATTATTAATAATAATTCTAACTATGCTAACACTTATTTATAGTGGCTGGTAATCATGTGCTCTTTATTATTGAATTTTCTTACCTGGTCATTCCTTCTCAGGTCCACGGGCTGCATTCTATCCCAGCATGCATTGGGTGTAAAACAAGGAACCAGCTCACAGGTCTAAGGTCAAACACAAATTTATAAATGTGAATTAAGCAATCATTTAACTAAATGTACAAGAATTACATGAACTCCTTGACATAAAACTGTTATGGCTGGTAAATAAATAAACTTCATTAGAAACATGCTCATTAGCTCTCTAACGAGGCGCACACATTCCTCCCCGCAGGCGCATTCCTCCTGCTTTTTTGCTCGCTGTCTGTGTATCGGAGCAGCTCCTATTTTTACACCTTTCCGAAATGAAAACTACTGTTTTGGATCAGACCAACTGGACTTTCGACGTAAATTACAAAATCCTTTCAACAAAGCAACAGGGTCCTGGAGAACCCTCATCTGCTCGGACGACACGCATGCAGCTGGATAAATTTCAGGGGGTGAGGTGTCTATCTCTGATGGTGATCGAGGACGCCGAAATTGCATATATTTGGATTTATGATAACAGGTTTCCTGTTTTTGGAATAGTCTGGATCCTGGTTTATCAACGAACAAAGAAGGCGGTCATAGCTAATTTGGACCTCGTCAGGCTGCTGCATATGTGAAGGTTGGTTTGTGCTTTGAGGACTCAAAATCAGCTGATTTATGAGCGAAACCATAAATTGGAAGTGATTTGAATCACAGGCCACCTGCGGCTTTGGGACTTAGCATGAACACGACCTTGAAGAGGCTCGTAAGCACGGACCAGCAGAATGCACTCTAATCTGGCCATTTCGGACTTTCGAAGTACCAGTACAGACTCAAGGCTGACAGAAAAATACTCTGCCTGGATATATCAACTATTATGGATTATCTGAATCGGTCTCCTTGGTTGGCCTCGAACAGGCCGACTTATCAATTTCTCCTGGGAAATGTGTAAACTAAGGAAAAGCTTTGTCTATCGCAACCTCATGCCACAGTTTTAAACAAAGATCTTAGGATGAGAAATAACAGAGTTGTATTATGTGTAAACTCAGGCAATATTACACGATGTCAGAGTGGGTTTTATGATCAATCTGAAGAAAAACCAACAACATGCTCACGTTGCGTTCTGCTGGGATCTCCACTTTTTTAATATTGTTCAGGTCCCACCACAGCAAACCATCTTTAATATGACTCCTCTCTGTTGGTCCTGTGTTGTGAAGAAACATATAAACTATGTCAGAGATAATAATTTAAACAAATATTTTTATTTCATCTTAAGTTCATTTTACCTGTTGCATAGCTCACAATGAGCCCAACCAGTACGACTGAACTGGTGGCCATGGCTCCAAAATAGAGATAAGACATGGAGTAGAAGTTATCAATACCGCTGGTGTTGAGTGGACAAACAGGAGGGATAAAAAATAACAGTTTAAACAAAGCAGCTTGTAAAGCGTTCATGCAAATGGGTTAAAAAGAAGATGACAAAACTGATTTGCAAAAAGAAGAAGGTGTTAATCTTATGTGTATTATTTAAAAGGACAAAAGGAAAGGAGCCTTTAGAGGAGATTTGAGACATCAGATTATTTTTACACACGCTGCTGAATTTAAATGAGCTGACTTTATAAAAAAGACGTGACTGACCTTTCGTCTCTGGGATGAAGTGGGGTCAAGATGGAGTGTTGTTCGGGGCTGGAGCTGCTGTTCAGGGTGACGTTAGCAGAGCTGCAGCTTCCTGTGAAGCTGGGCAGGACACCCATTGTCTCCTCACTGGGGGGGTAAAGAGTCGACCCTACAGCCAGCCACAGAGAGACACAGAAGCCCACTAAGATTCCCGAGAATGCCCCCTGTAACAAAAATAAGTTATTTCATTATATTATCTTGTTATAACCAGTCTGAACACTCAAAGGTCAGTTGAGGTTGAGAATCAATGAATGCAGCAAAGATCGTCAGGTCTCTCTTGTACATGAGTCCCTGAGATTCAATGGGATTAACCTGTATAAATAAAGGTTGAATGATTCGTAGTTATTTCTTCATAACCATCTGGTCAAATCCTGCATCTGCAAATAAAACCATTTTAAGAATTAACAAGAATACTGCATACAGCCCATAATGTACCAGTTGACTATTACACAACACTACAGCAATCTATAGCAATGGCCTGGACAAGCAAAGACCTCGTGTAAAATTTGATCTTAAATTGTAACCTTGACCTTGAAGTTTGGGTGATGAAAAGTATACGTGATGCTCCGTCTAGTGAGGATGTATATTTGTAAAAAGGGTTGTCAAAATGACTTGAGCAGATCAGAAGTTAAAGGGGGTGGTGGAGAAAACCAGAGGAAGTTCAAATACGAATGTACGGATGTAGACCATACCACATACTGGCACTTTACCAAAATGCTTACCAACAATGGAGGGATTGATGTCTTGGTCTTACATCATCTTGATTTAATCTGTCTTTAGATAATTGAGTTGCATTGTTTGGTAAGAGTTTGTTCTAAAGCATTATTTGAGAGCTCCATTTCTTATAGAAAATTGTATAGTACATTATAGGTTATCAGTTATTGTCGTAACGGGTTGGTGCTGGTAAACCCAGTTGTGCAGGCAGACAGTCGAGGACTGAGGAGAATATAAAATAAAGACTTTATTTTCCAAAACAAAAAGCTGTCAGTGCAGCAAAACTTGCATGAGTGACTAGAAGTTCACAAGGAGCAGACCAGGACATCACCAGTGGACAGTACACAATACCAGGACATCACCAGTGGACAGTACACAATACCAGGACATCACCAGTGGACAGTACACAATACCAGGACATCACCAGTGGACAGTACACAATGCCAGGACAAGGAGTGAGACAAACACACAGGTTTAAATACAGGAAAACACCAATTAGACAAAGTGAAGACACCTGTGAGTAATCACAGATGCCAAAGACTGAGGACACAAGACATAAACATGACACAAGATGGAGCCAGATACTTAAGGAAACACAAAACCTGTAAAGAAAGAAACAGAGAAGCAAGGGGATGCAGCCATAAACACAATACCAGAAGTGCTAGACACCAAGGAACATAACACAACCACTACAGTTATGTTTTTAAGCTGCAGGCTGTGGTAGCTTGGTGGTCAGTACTGCTGTCTTGTAATCTTGAGGTTGCAGGCTCAAGCCCAGGTTGTGTCAGGAAAGGCATCCATCATAAAACAATTGCCAAATCTTTCATGTGAGTTTGCTCACTGTGGCAATCCCTGAAGAGAGAGCAGCCAAAATAAACTTACTGCTTATTTTTTTAAGCTAATTGAGTCACTCACCAGCCGATTTGTCGCTGGCACAAAAATTCCAAGTATGAATACACCAAGCAATGGACCACTGACCACACCCATGACAGTGAACGAGCCCTGCAGAGAAGAGACAAACAAAAGAAGAAACAAAATAACCAAAGTGTCCAGAGATATAAAGCAGAACTGCTCTTTAAAACCTACTGCATCTGATTTGACATTAAATTAAACATTAGCATTAATTATTCAACTTTTCTCATCTTCAGGTTGCAGTTGTGATAAAGCTTATTATGTCCATTTAAAAGTATTTGTGCTGCTGTAGTTTGTTTTGAAGGGATTTTATTCTGTGTGATTTACCTGAAGAACTCCCCAATCCAGGAAGGAGGAGAGAGCTGCAACTGTGATACAACCAACTCCATACATCAAGGCTTAGAGACAAGAACATAAAGAATATATTGAAAAAACATACACGATCTCACATCAGATAAATAATTATTAATAACTTTTCCTGAGAAAACACAAAGAAACATTAGAAGTGTTTTAAAATATAGGTTCTTCTGGTTTATATTGTCTTCATTGAATATATTTAGGAACACATGTTCACTTAAAAACTTTTCCTTCCTGGAAAAAGTTTAATAAAACAACAACAACAACAAAAAAAGCATAAACTCTTGACACTCATAAATTAGATGTGTGTTCAATATATGAAGACTTTCTTTACTTATTAAAACATGTTCATTAGATCATGGTCAAGTTAAAGGTAAACTGGTATTTGGTTAGACTCGTTTATAGACCATGAAAGTCAAATCCACTCATCGCAGCAGTGGGGCCATTTAGGAGTAGTGGGTAGTTTGAGTTCATATAAATGTTTGACTTTTTCTAGTAAATAATTAAAAATAGAATCAAGCTTGATGTTGTGCATATTTATAGTCCAAATTTCCTTAAAAAAAAAAAAAAAAACCACACACAAAAAGTAAAACTTTAAAGTTTTAAAAAAGTATGTCTAATACACGACAAAATCTTTATAAATAAATATAAGTATTTTGTTATTATTTTCTATTTTGTAACCTGTGGACTCAACGTTAGAGGTCAAACAGTCAAAAACTTATTCTGCCTTTATTTTGAAATCACAATACGAGGAATGTTTATTTGCAATAAAAGCACAAGAGAGAAAACAATCAAAACTGCTGCTGTCTTATTGAAACAGCAGTGATCTGTGAGAATAGATTAAAAAGCAAAACATGGGTCTAAAATTGTCACTAAAATTGCTTGTTGGGACAATTATCAATGACAGCAAGTTGGGGTAATATGATGTATATTGTCGAGCAACTATAAATTGGTCAGTTATGGATGGTTATGTTTCATTCACTTTCCCCTTTTTTGGGGAGGTTTGCCTTTGCTTTTTTTGTGAAATACATTACATCACTCTACAATATCAGCTTTCCAAAAGCTTGTTTCATGAGCACCATCTTTCCACAGTGCTTTTCTACGAGTAAAGGTTGTATAGAAACCAGATGACAGTCCACTGGTGGGCCACAGGAATGTTAAAGTGATAATTCAGCAGTGAGAACCTACAGAGTCCTTTAGAAATGAGCATCAGTTTCCTCTGCGTCATGTGGCACAGCCAAGGTTTCAGCAGGTCCTCCATCGTCACTGCAGCCATGGCATTGATGCTTGTGGAGACTGTGCTAAAAAAGACAGTCACCAATAAAGAAATACATTTGAAGTAAATTAGCCGTGCAAATTTACAATAATGTTTACAGTAAATATTGTGCTTAAATGTAAGTAACAAAACAAAACTTTCATCATATTGATAAAAATGTTCATAAGTATGGTTATCACCAACGTGGAGATAATAAACGCCAACAATAAACCGCTGAACTCATTACCAGCAAGATGTATGGAGTAAAAAGCAAAACACCAAAAAATCAGCAGAAAACAAAATATAAAATACAAGTTCCTGGGTTTTATAATAAAAGCCCATGTTCCACCACAGGTTCCCTTCATTGGAGAGAAATCAAACTTATAGATTCAGAGAGAATCAAGTTGAAATACCTTAAAGTTCCACTGTATGCACAGGCGAGGAACAGGCCTGGAAAACCTGGGTGATCTCTGAATATGTCCAGCACAAAGAACGGCATGTACTTCACCAGATGAGCAGGGAGTAAAGTAGAATAAGAACTATTAGTGTCAGGCTTTTGTCTAACATAATCTTGGAAAATGTGACGCTTTCAAACTGTACATGGGGATGGCACAGAAACCTATGGTATGTCCTTCTCATAAACGTTAATTAGGAAAATAAAAAATGCAAACAAAAATATGAGTATACTTGGATTTTGAAATGTTAAACTTTATTATAATTTTAAGAAATATGTTGATCTAAAAAACAAACAAGCGGTATGTCAATGTCGCCCATCGCTGAGGAATTTGAATGATGAATGTTTGTAGTTTCCAAGATGAGTTTTTCTTGACAGGAACTGAGAAAGGGAATGTTGCTAAACTTTAATGTATTTAGTGCAATATATTCAAGTGGTTATAGTTACAATGTGTATAAAAATAGAGTTATATATTCTTATTTTATACTTGTCTGAGGTGGAGTGATGGATCCTGGAGAGCGGAGGGAGCATTTTAATCCACCACCAGGTGCAATGGTGGCACCAGGGAGTGGTCAATGGTGGTCTTGGCCACCATAGATAAATAAATCGGCCGCTACAATCATTTGAGAAAACTATAATTTTAAGCAAAATAAAAACTAGAAAGCATATTTTCCTCAAATGATCAGTGGGGTCAGTTTACATGGCGGTGGCCATCTGGGATTCTGACTTGGCAACCCAATATATGGTCCTTTCTTCCACCTTGATGTAGCCACACACTAAAATGAAAGTCAATCACTTATTTTTCAAGTTATCCAGCTCACAAGACAGGCAGACAAACGAATAGTCTGTCGGAGGGTGTTTTCAATTCCCCTCTTTGGACAAATGACTACAGAACCAACCTCATCATCAGTGAATAAAAAACACCGAAAACCTCAACTACTCATGAGTTATACAGAGACGTGATCATTTGTCCTTGTTCAGAGGAATCTACGTACCAGGTCAGGTGTAGAAATCTTCCCAGACTTCAGTGGATCACAGGAACTGTAATATGCAAACATGACGATCCCACAAGTTGCCGCACTGCTAACAATAAAGCACAGACCCACCTGGTTCACAAAAAGAGCCCTGCCAACAAAAAACATGTTTCGTTTTAGGGAATCCGGCTTATTTTTTGTGCAATAAAACAGATTTATTTACTGTGTTTCTGTGAAACATCATTGAGATGGTTATTTCAATCTGTTTTTCTAGATTTAAAAATGTGTTTTTTAATTCTTACACAGAACAAAGCATGACGTTTTACTCTTGATCCAAAAGTTTCAGCCTTTTTTTTTTTAAAGCACAAACAGTTTGATATTTTAAACATGATCTTCTCCAAAGCAGGTTTGTGTTGAAACACAAACACTCACATCACTCTTAATAATTTGGTGTTTGCAGTGACTCAGCTGAGCTTTGTTGTACCTCATGGATCCATCCTCGGCTCTCACCTGTTTTTCAAGGCCAGCCTATTTAGAACCATACATTAACTTTCTATTCAAATAACTTTTTTTATTTTACCTGCTTTAACATGTGAAGATCCCAGTCTTGTTAAACTGCAGCTCACCTATCTGGTTTAAAAATTTTAATGAGTCATTATTTTTCCAAATCTAATATTAATTCAAAGATCAATTCATGCGATCCCCAAATCCTTGAGAATAGACTAGAATAGAAAGCCTTTATTGTCACTGCACATAATATTTACAGTGAAATTTGTAGTACTGAAGTGATGCTTGTTGATGAAAGTAGAAAAAAGGAATCAAGGAGTTAACATTGATTTTCATTTTTCAGTAGTGTTTTGTTCTGTTTTAAGATAATCTCAATAATTAGCTTTAGACTGTTCCCGCCTTTCACTTGTTGAATGCAGAAATTGTTGTTAACCTCTCTGACCAGCAATAATGAATTACTGACACAACTAATCTTAATTCATAGATACTTTATGTAAATGCCTGTCAGGCCTCACCACTTGGCATCTCGCTCTGTGCGGCAGGAGATGTAGCGCTGGACCTGCGCTTGGTTTACCCCATACATGGACAACCAAACCAGTGAGCCACCAACAGAGAGGCTCCAAAAAGTGTATCGTTTCCGTGGGTCAACGTCAAAACTGTACAAGAAAATGAAGAACACTTGTTAACATAATGATAAAAAAAGTTTTTACATTACGACTATAAAACAACTAAATTTAAATTGAGTGAACTGATGCTCTGGAAGACTTACAGAAAATTGTACAACGTTGTTTCTATTTGGGACATTGTGGGTGATGCTAATAAAAACTAACTTAAATGTTTCAAATTCAAGAAAAACATCCAGTTTGAATGTTGTTTTTATAATAGTTTTTTGATTGTTTAAACTTTAGATGGTTCTCCAATCTATACAGCTATATTAATCCGAGAACACCTTTAATATCACAGCTATTCAGATTCTTATTCCAGCTGTTAGGAAAACCGGACTTTATGTATAAATCTGTGCACACATTAGTGTAAATGTAACTAGAGAATAAAACTATAAATTAGGTACTCATTAAAATTGATCCGGGAGCCATTGTAGGCGATCTTCAGTACTTGTGCAGGACCACCAACCAGAATTGTACCATGGATATAAATTGCCATGAAACCTGCCAACATGACAATGATCTGGAACACGTCAGTCCAGACCACGGCCTTAATGCCCCCCTGCACACAGGCGAAGGAGAAGAAGGACACACGAAGTGAGAAAATCAACAAATATGGCCCCAGTTTCCTCATGAGGTTAGATAATATTCAGAAATGTGGATTTGTGGAGCATTTTCCAACTTCCCAGGATGGTAATAGTGTGTCCTTACCAGTGTGGTGTACATGGTGCAAATGATCCCCGTAGAAAACAGAGACATCCACATGTTGAGTCCAGTGGCTGCAAAAGTTCAAGTGTGTTAAAGTGAACTGAAATGTTCCCAAAATTAAATTACATTTTAACAAAAGTCATCATGCTTTGTGCTAAGGGACAGACATTTTTCATCATTGTTAAACTTTATTTAAGCTGTTTGCCGCATAACCTGTCTGCAGCATCCAACAATTGTCAGTCAGCTCACAATTGTTGGATTGTATACCTGGATTATTGAGCGTGGACTTTTTTGGTTTTGAACCAGTTTGACATGACTGTCGACGAGGAAGAGGGCCGGCTCCACAGGAGGGGGCGTACCAAAGACACCATGTTAGCACCAACATAACTGGTTTGTTCCACTTTGGAGTAAGCTGTTTGGGGGAAGAATCAGTGTTGTGTTGTGTGTTTCCTTGACTGATGAAGCCTTCTGGATGGAAGGTGAAATGTTTCAGCAAAAAAAAAAAAAAAAAAGAAACTGTCCAGATGACCTGACTGAAAATTGTTGGATTATATACCTGGATTATTGAGCATGGACTTTTTTGGTTCTGTCGGCAGTATATTTTATGAAGCAAAGACCTTTCAAAAGAAAATTTTTAAACGAGTCTTGATAACTTTTTTTTTTTCATCCCCAGGAAGTGAAAATAAGACATTACTGAATATTCAAAAGGTGTTCTGGTATGCACAGTGAAACAATTAATTGGTAGTTATCTCACAGCATGAGGACCAGTTTTGACTCCTCTCTGGGGCCTTTTTGAGTGGAGTTCTTCTTGGGGATGTGTGGCTTTTTTCAGGGTACTCCAGTTTTGATTAAGTTTAGATTAGTCAGCCAATTTATTTTTTGATTCGAGTGCATGATTGGATGTCTGATATGCTAACACTCCAGGGTGCACCCCTTCTCTGAGATTTGCCAGCTCTCCATGACCTTGAAGGAATAGGTAAAAATAGATGGAAAATTAATTTACACAAAGTACACTGTGATGACATGTCCCTCCTGTGTTATGTAAATGACCAAACATATACATCTTGTTCGTTTCCACTCATTCAGTTTTGTGTATTTCTGGTTTTGAACATCACATAGTACTTGCTATCACAACTTGATGTCATATCACTTGTTGTCTGTGGAGACTCAGACACACATGCACTTGTGTTCATGTTGATAATCCCTTATTTTGTTATTTTGTCCATTTATGGCTTAAAAACGGTGGTTGAATAAAGTTTATTTTCATCACAAATCCTCATGACTCACTTGTCTTGATTTTACACCAAAGAGCCAATTTGACACCAAACAAAATAAGCGTCTCAAGTTCATTTATAAACATCACTCCTTGAAAAGAAAAAAAAAATCTAAAAGAAAATCAATTTCTTGTATAAATGTAATTGTTTCACTATGTAGGTTTTTCCAGTGGACCTAAAAAAATCATGCATTTTTTATTTAAGAAAAACAAGTGAAATATCTTCATTGATCCTTTATGAGAAGTAAAGAACATCGTTGCTCTAAATATTGATTGAAATGGTTGGTGATGGTGGTAATAATCAGATATAAAAATGTTTTTGAGCATTTTTTTTCCTATTGCATGACTAAACATTCCCCAGGTCCGATCGTTAGTCGAACCTCAGATCCAGGAGGAACAATGTGGATTCCATTCTGGCCGTGGAACACTGGATCAGCTCTTTACCCTCACTAAGGTCATTGAGGGGTCATGGGAGTTTGCCCATCCAGTCTACATGTGTTTTGTGGACTTGGAGAAGGCATTCGACCATGTTCCTTGAGGTACACTGGGGGGGGGGGGGGTGCTCTGTGAGTATAGGACTGAGGGCCCGTTGCTACGGTCTGTTCAGTCCCATATACAAGCGGTGCGAGAGTTTGGTTTGCAAAGTAGTAGTAAATCAGACCCCTTCAGGGTGGGAGTTGGACTCTGCCAGGGCTGCCCATTGTCAAATATTACGTTCATAACTTTTATAGACAGAATTTCTCGGTGCAGCCAGAGAGCAGAGGGATTCCAGTTCGGTGGCCTCAGGGTTCCAGCTCTGCTCTTTGCAGATGATGTGATCCTGTTGGCGTCATCGTGCCGTAATCTTCAGCTCTCCCTGTAGCGGTTCGCAGCCGAGTGTGAAGCGACTGGGATGAGAATCAGCACCTCCAAATCTGAGGCCATGGTCCTCATTTGGAAAAGGGTGGATTGCTCTCTTCAGGTCGAGGGTGAGGTTCTGCCTCAAGTGGAGGAGTTCAAGTATCTCGGGGTTTAGTTCACAAGTGAGGGAAGAATGGCGCGTGAAATTGACAGATGTATTGGTGCAGCATCTACAGTATTGCAGGCTATGTGCAGGTGTTCTGTATTGGTGAAGAGAGAGCTGAGCTGTAAGGCAAAGCTCACTGTTTACCAGTCGGTCCATACCCTCACCTATGGTCATGAATTCTGGGTAGTGACCGAAAGAATGAGATTGTGGATACAGGTGGTTGAAATGAGTTTCCTCCATAGGGTAGCTGGACTCTCCCTTAGAGATAGGGTGAGAAGTTCAGTTATCTGGGAGAGACTCGGAGTAGAACCGCTGCTCCTCCACATCGAGAGGAGCCAGTTGAAGTGGATCAGGCATCTGGTAAGGATGCTTCCTTGGCACCTCCTTAGGGAAATGTTTGGAGCATGTCTGACTGGAAGGAAACCCTGGGGAAGACCGAGGACATGCTGGAGAGACTACGTCTCTCCGTTGGCCTGGGAACATCTTGGAATCCTACCCGAAGAGCTGGAAGAGGTTAATGGTAAGAGATGTCTGGGCCTTCCTGCTCAAGCTGCTGCCCCCGCGACCCGACTGCAGAACAAGCGGAAGATAATGGATGGATGGATGGATGGACATTCCCTGGGTCAAACTTGGACTGTCTCAGAGACATATTTGCACAGCCTGCACTTTGGGTCTTGTCTGATATAGTAGACCCCGGCCTCAACGGCTTTTGTGTTGAGGGCCTGTTCTTGCAGGCACACACTAAAATGGAAGTTGGTACTAAACGTATATTATGAAGCTCACAAGCTCACGAGTGGACAGACAGAGGCATTTCCCCTTGTCCCACTGCTACAATACAATAAAACACTGTTATCATGAATGAACAAACAAGACAAATGGACTTTGAATAAGTTGCAAGGAAATATGGAAATAAAATCAAAACAAAAGCCAAATAAATGTGAATATACCACAAATCCACTTAAATACCTTGGTTTAATATCAGTGCCGGTGCGTAGATGACAATCCCTGTGTAAAGCAGCTGAGAAAAAAAGAAAAGTAGTGTTTGAGTCTGAACCAGTCAATAAATTTACATTAAAAACTTGTCGAGCTTGTTTGTAAGAGCACTCAGTTTTCTGAACCTTGAGTGACAGATCATACCGTTGCAAGAAGAAACTGGAAGCTCCCCAGCAGCTGCATCCCTTTGCCAAATCTCATCTTCAAATACTGTGACAGGCAGATGGTCAGAGTCGTAACATCAGAGAGGATCTGTGCAAACATTCCTCATCCTTCACCTTCTAAAATTGTCACTTTTGATGAGCCTCCGAGGAATTTTTTCATTTCAGGCGGAACTTGGGCTTAATTCTACACTGGAATGTGTTTGGGTATTATCCCCAGTAACTCAACATTACATACATTTGAAGAGAAGTTAAAATGTTTTTCATTTAAAAGCAGTTTGGACAAAAGACAAACATTGTTTTCTCATCAAAGAATCTAAATTATATCTACTGATGTAATTGACCATAATTGCAGTCTAAAAGATTGTACTGGAACAAAAACAAATTTGGTACACAAAACCATAGCTGGCATTATTTAGATTTAACTTTCCGCATCAAAATTTAGGCTTTTAAGAAAAAAAAAAAAACTTTAGCAAACTTTATTACAGTAGACATTTGTTATTTCATCAAATAAGTTGATCATCATCTGGATTGTGACCTGATTGATGCTGGTGATGCCCAGGCGGAAGAAAACTGGCAGGAACAGGTAGGCAGTCAGCAGAGAGTTGATGCTTTGTCCGAGGCACATGTAGAGGAATTTAAAGCCATAGCGAAACCCTTCAGAGGGAACACCAAGAACCTGGACCGCTGACATGAAACTGGCACAGAGCGACAGCCCGACAGGCACAGCTGGCATGCTCCGACCACCGGTGAAGAAGATTCCTACAGAGGAATCCATTGGCCTCTTCTTCAGGGCTTGGAAAAGCCCTATCGCCATGGAAACGGACAGCATGGCACCAAAGACGACGTAATCCACCGGAAGGAAAACTGGTCTGAATGACTCACTGTCAGACTGATGCTTCATTTTCTGTTTTTGATGCCTTCTGTCTAAAAGTTTCTGCTGATTCCAGATGTTTAGTGGATCTGTTGAAGAGAGGTAGATGTATTTATGACCACTGGAGGCAGAAGAAGTTATCTAAGTAACATCTGAAGGTACTTTGAGACATTTACAGACAGATACATTTGTTTATGCCCTTCTACTATAATAAAAAATACAACTTGTGACTGAAGCCATGACGCTTCAGTTTTATATCTTCAGTCGCAGAAACTTTGAGGCTCATCCACTTTTCCTGTCAATCCGTCAGTGTGTAACTAACCTTTGTCCAACAAACAGTCAAGTAGCCTTTAAATATCTGTAATAGTCTCCTTCAGATTTAAAACCATTATTTTCTTCCTTACTTTCTACGACTACGATTAAACTCTCTGCTGCATCTTCGTCTGACAGACAAGTACACCAGATCAGAAATGTGCGTTTTAGAAAAATGTCTTATGAAAAAAAAAACACTAAAGCTGATAATAATACTCTCCTTTTATGGTATTTTATATATTAACTGAATAATCTCTAAGAAGTATACCATATTTTTCGGACTATCAGTGAACGAGTCTATTTTCATACATAAGATGTGCCGGATTATAAGGTGCATTAAGCGAAACAAAACAGTCCGATATGTCAAACTTTATCCAACTCATTCACAATAACCACATAAAATCAGTTCGAGGTCAGTGAGCACAACCAGAATTAATACATAAGGCGCACCAGATTATAAGGCTCACTGTCGATTTTTGAGAAAATTAAAGGATTTTAAATGTGTTTTATGGTCAGAAAAATATGGTACTTTAAATACTGTATCTTCCCATTTGATTTGATGTTCTTTTATTTTTCTAACCAACAATAACAAAAAAAAAATATATATATTGAACTAATCCGACCTTCGTATATTTTTCTGGTAGAAAGTTGACTATAGATGAAAAGCTTTTGTTTTAAACTGTGAAAGTTGCTCCTGTTACCTCATGACTTCACGTCACAGACTAAAGCAACATTCTGTAAAGCTCTTCAATTATCAAAATGGAAGTTTTCACATAAAACATATTTTTAAACAATTACAGATTTATAGTAAATGTGTGAAATTTAAATAAATTTTTTTAATCGTTACTGTACAAGAAATTGTGTAGCTATACACTGTGAATTTTTTGGTTATGACAAAAGAGAGTTTTCCATAAAAATGTAAATAAAACATAATAACAACTCACCACTGCTTCAACGTCCAGCTCAGTCCAGTCAGTGAAGACAGAATGTGCTGACAGCCCACTCCACTCCTCAGCAGCTGCTTCACATCCAGACACTTTCTCTGAAACACGCACGTGTGTGTGTACGTGTTTGTGTAACACTTTAGTGCATCATGAAGAGCTGCTCATAGGTAGGCGTACAGATGTGTAAAATGGAAGGGTTCAGTTAAGGATTGGAGCTTTACAACGTTACAGGCAGAGAAAAGAGTTGAAATTCAAGTTCAAATTCAAGTAGGTTTTATTGTCATTTGTATCGCATGTCGTACACGAGGTGGAACAAAACTGTGTACACAAGGTCCCAGTTACATCCAACAATAGCAAAAATATTAAGTGTAAAAAGAAACAGTAAATAAGGATTTAAGATATAAACTCAGAAATATGTTAAAAAGTAATAGTGCAAAACAATACGCCGAACAACAGCAGCATGAACACGAGTCTGTGTGAGCAGATGAGGACGAATGAATACAGCAGCATGAACTAATCAGCAGCATGAGATCAGCAGCATGAATAATCAACAGCACATATCAACGATCAAATGGCATTGCAGTGATTTTTTTTTTCACAGTGATAATCCTGATTAGGGATTTATGAGTGTAACAGCTTCAGGGTAGAAGCTGTTCTTCAGTCTAGTGGTTCTACACTTAATGCTCCTTAATCTCCTTCCTTTCCTTTGATAACAGTTTATCTGTTTTAAATTGTGCTCTACAAATAAAGATGACTTGACTTGACTTGACTTCCTGAGGGGAGCAGAGCAAAAAAAGTGTGTGTGCTGGGTGAGTGGGGTCCTTCATGATGCAGGTGGCCCTCTGAATCTGGAGGTGTAGATGTCTGTGATGGTGGGGAGGCTGACTCCAACATCTTCTGTGCAGCCTTCACCACTCTCTGCAAAGCTTTTCTTTCTGCAGCTGTGCAGCCTCCATGCCACACGCTGATGCTGGAGCACAGGATGCTCTCCACTGCACACCTGTAGAAGGAGGTGAGGACTGAGCTTCCCAGACCAGCTCGTCTCAGCCGTCTGAGGAAGTAACGTTTCGGATGAGCTTTCTTGATCAGGCTGGTGGTGTTGCTGTCCCAGCTGAGGTTGTCATTCAGGTGCACACCCAAGTACTTGTAGCTGTAGACCACTTCCACCATAGAACCTCTTATGCTCGGTGGTTAGGTGGTGTGTTTGTTCCATCTGAAATCCACAACCATCTCCTTCATCTTCTTCACATTGATGTGAAGGTTGTTCTTCTTGTTCTGGTTAAAATTGAGTTATAGAAGAAAAATGCTTAGAAGAAGAGGGAGTTTGAAGCATGGCAAACAATTTTATGGGTTAAAAGTTCCACTTAATTAAAAACAAGAACGAAATCTGCATCACTTTTTAATTTGCCAGAATTTTATTTGTCTAAAATTTACAGAAACATGAGCGGCAGACATGTTACAGATACAGGTACGGGTTAAACATGGAAGTTTATGGGATGTGACAGATTATCACACTGCTATAAACTAAACTTTAAAAGACAGAGGGTTTAAGAACGTGGGCGTGCACAATAGTTATAGTATTGTTTACTCAGTACACAGGAGAATTACTTCTCAACAAGAAAAATAATCTTACATGTGTTTAAAAGTCAAAAGTTGCTGGTGGTTCTGTTGCACATGTTTGATGACCAAGTGACTGAAATAAAACATCCTGTAAGACTTATCAACCACCTGTGAAATGCTCTGGGTTTAGGAGCCACTTATTGTCATGACAGCACAAGAAGTAAAGACAAAAACCTTAATTGCTCCTTTCTTTTTTATAATTTAGATATTAAATATAAAAAATTTAAACTACCAATTATTGAAGGAATGCTCATTACCTGCTGCTTTGAATGCCAAAGTTTTCAACAAAGATTTTGTGTGCAAAATTAATGCGGGAGTATGTGATGGTGATTTGTCTCAGCTACTGCAGGGCCAAATTTTAGATTAATATCTGTAAGACTTACGAAGTTATCACAACTTTTGTATTTGCTTAAATTGACAAGCTGAAAGCAGATGAAAGGTTTCTGTCCTCCCAGAGGCCCAGAGCAGGTCAAATGGTAAAGATCAGGTAAGATTAACCATGAAACCAAGAAAAGCAAACAAAACATAAAGTTAGAGGCCAGACTGAGATGGTTTGGACATGTCCAGAGGAGGGACAGTGGGTGTACTGGTAGAAGGATGTTAGAAATGCAGCTGCCAGGAAAAAGACAAAGAGGAGATATATGAAGTTAGAGAGGACATGGAGGTAGTTGGAGTGAGGACAGAGGATGCAGAGGACAGAGATGGAGGAGGATGACTCGCTGTGGAGACACTTGAAGAGGGAAAAGCTGAAAGAAGAAGATTAAATTTCAGTAGTTGCATATTATAACAAGGGGATTGGGCTTTGGGCAGATTATCTACATGAGTGTTTTCACAGAAACACCCTACACACTCCTAAAAAAAGAGACTTGACTATAGATAAGGTTTGAAAAGTGAACAGGTTTTAACAAATCATACTAAAAAGTCAGAATACTGCGTAATGCCATAACATCAAATAATATCAACAATTTTCAAAGACAAAATGGAAAATTAAATGTGTCAAACTTTGGTCAAACTGGATCAGAATCATTTTTAAATCACACGTAAACCAGTATTTAAACGCTTGCAGTTCTGAGCAGGTGTTACTTTTTTCTTAAAACTAGAACAGGAAACGGCACTGCTGAAAAGAGGAAACTGCGGTTTGTCAGCTGAATTTCTTTTCTTGTAATTTAAAATAAATGTATTTCTTCAGAATACTTCATGCACTCTCTCTTATTAACAACTTGCGTCTGATTTGAATTGTCGCTGAGCAGATTAAAATAAACCAATTTAAAGTAGCACAAATGTCAGTTTTACTGACTTCGGCTCATTTAAAGACAGAATTTGTAGCAGTGTTTTTGAACAAGTTCATGTGATAATATCTTCACGTGTGGTTCACTTGTGTTGAAGCCAGAGAGCAGCTTGCTCTTCAACCCGTTTATGAAAACTTCTAGGCAAGACTAAAGTCTAAAGCTCCACTTGAAATAAAAATTATAGCTTTAAAAATTGTAACAGTTTGAAAAGTGAACAATTTGTTTAAAAACGCAGTCAACTTTTCTTGCTTAAAACAACATTATTGGAACAAAAAGGGGTGTTTTTGTGTAAATATTGTTTCAAGGCCTACAACATGGGTCATTAAAACATTTTCAATAAAGTGGAATGAAAAGGAAATGAGGGAAGGAGTCTTTTTTTAATATAATTTAGTGCACAATTTATTTATATTAGTAATGTTTTTTATGCTGTGCATCTGTGAGCCAGATTAAAAACTGTTTAAGAGAAACAATAAAGTCGACATGTTAGGTCTGCTTGTCTGCAGTAATCAGGAAGTCATACAGAACTTCCTGTCAGCACATCCAGACACAGAAACACACTCTGGGTGTGAAATCGCAGAAGCTGCAGAGGAAAGTTTGGGTGAACAAATTAACAAAATACAACCGTAGTCCTTCGCGTGCAAAGGTAACAATTCAAAATATACTTAAGACCTAAAACTACTGTTTGCAGTTTTTTTTTTTTTTTTACATTGCATGTATGTTAGAGTGCAAATTTCTACTGACAAGATGTAGATTTAATCCTGCTAACGCCATGGTTTTACTTTAACTTTAGCTCCGGCTCAAGTTTAAACTGACACTTTGTTCAAATTTTGTGACATTTTCATTTAGCATACTTGAATGTTTTCATGAAAAGTAATGCGAGATATTATTCATGAAAAATAAACAATTTAATAGTAACCAAATAAGGATATATGAAACCATAAGCTCTAATGGAAAAGTATTTGTTTCCTTATTCAGTGACAGTAGAACATGATGAGCAGTTTCTTGAGATGCAATGGATACCCCACAAATATATTTACATCATTTCCACACAACAACCAGCTCATAAAGGCACTTTAAAATTTAGATTGTACTCGAACAGTGTGCACTGCTGTTTTCACTGCAGGACTTCCTTTGAAAAGCATGTCCAGAAACTGTTCATTTGACTTTTCATCTTAAATCAGTTTAACTTTGACCTAATTTATTCTGGCTGATAACTTGACTCATTCAGCACAATCTGTTCTGTCAGATGTGTGTCATGGTCAGGACTTCAACTTGTTGTTATATCAATGCAAAGCACATTATTGGTTAAAAGTTTTAACATTTTCTTAACTTTGTTACATTATCTTGGGGGAATTAAAAAGAACATGGCAACTACTGGTTTTTATACAGAAAAAAAGGCATGTAAATGATTTGCTGTGGTCATGCAATTTGTTTAAAGGGACATAAAAAGTTGCCAACAAAATAAGATTTATACAGCATAACAGGGATCAACCTCACTAGTTACTCTGTAAACAAAACAACAAACAAAAATGTCTTCTGCTCGAACAAGACTCAGCAAGATGCACATTTGTGGTATCAACCTTTTTATAACTGTCTATTGTTGTCGCTGTTGTCCATTGTTGTTATTCTTTGTTGAAATCAGGTCTCTCTTGTAAATGAGTCCTCGAGGCTCAATGGGATTTACCTGTCTAAATAAAAGGTTGAATGAATGAAAATCAATTTACTAATCTGTGTAACTGTTTAAAAGTAAACCAAATGCTTGTTCTCAATCTCCCACTGCATATTGTCAAGCTCATTGCCAGGTAGGTATCTCCACCAAACCAAGTCCAAATACAAATATAATGTTCTGAATTACCCATTACCTACTACAGTACTGTCCAGTTATAGTACAGGCTTCAGCTAAGATGGTTTTATGACTTTTTATTGACAGATTTTAAAGTTACAGTCCTAAATGATCATAGCACATTGATCATGATCATACATACATGTTTATGCTGCTGTTGTTCGGTGTATTGCTTTTACACTACTAAGTGTTTAGCGTATTTCTTAGTTCATATCTTTGATCTTATTACTGTTTTTTATTTTATTTTACAATGTATACTTTTGTTGGATGTAACTGGGACCCTGTGTACACAATTTTGTTCCACCACATGCACCACATACAATGCGAATGACAATAAAAAACATTGACATCTTTGAAAGGAATAAATGGGAGTTACTGACAGAACAACATGCTAATAGAGCCAACAACATTAGAAGAGCTCAATGGGAAATTAAGCGACTTAGAGAATGATGGATTATTTGTTTATCTTCTTGTGGAAGGTTATCTCCAGTCCCACTCCAGATGCCCTGGCATCAATTTCAGAATTAAAAAACAAGGGGAAATCTGTTCCTGGAGAGCAGCAGAGCATCCCTTTAAGACCCAGCTGTTGACTTTCATTGGACCAGACACAAGGTTTATAAAAGTCTGGCTAAAACAGTCCAAAGATGCAAAGTTTGCACAGAACAAACTATCCTCCTGCTATTCCAAGAAAAGGTACTGAAGTTTGTTTTTTCTGTTTGTTGGCACAGAAAGTAAGGCATGGCCCTGATTTTTGGCATTTTCAGGGCTTAATTGTCCTTCACCAACTTGCTGACAAAATTAGAAATTAGTACCTGCTCCAGAATCACACTTGAAAACAGTGTGTGTTAATGAGACCGACTTCAATCTTTTAAACTGGTTTTCATCAGCAGTTGTCTTTGTTTGATCTTTGAATCGTTATTTTCTTAGAATTATACTTTACATATTAGTGTAGTTTGACTTCACTTGTACCAGGAGCAGACTGGTTGTTGGGAAACAAAATGGGACTTTCTGTGATTTCTCACAAAGTCTCAGGGGATGAAGCAACTGTTTTGGTTGCCCCACCCCCACTGTTTTATATTAAAATGCAGATGTTGGGTTTCTTCTCAGACATGCCAATGGATCTCAGAGAAGAAGAGTCTAGCCCCCTGGTGATCAGAGACCGGAAAGGCAGCCAGAGGTCCAGCTCGAGCATGGCCTCTGGTTTGCAGGTGCAGCTCTACTACTTTCCAGACGCAAAAGATGCAACAACAATACAAATTTCATCTGGACAAATATCTGCAGAGAACATCTGTATCAAAGCAGGGGAGAAATGTGGTAAGACTGCATTGTGTTTGAGCACAAGCTTCTGATTACTGCATTCCAAAATGTGTCCACGTTTTATAATTATGTTTAATTTCTTTATTCAGGTATCTTACCAGTGTACATCAGTCTTTTTGGTTTGGCATCTTCTGATCTGTCATTCTGGTATCCTCCATCACACGTGTTTCACTCAGATGAAAACCTAAAGGTTCACTTCAGAGTTAGGTCAGTAGTTCTTTATCTCGTTAAATATACAACAGTTTAATTTTAAAAAGTTGTTTACTTATGACTTCTCATTGAATGTGATCATTGGCTTCCACCCTATAGGGAACAGTGGACCAGATCTTCACCCTTGTGAAGTTGCTAAGGGGTCATGGGAATACTGAAAATATTTAGAAGAAATGGTGCAAAAGCTGGACAACATTTTCTGCAGAAGATGTTGACTTTTAAAAAATATGCAGCAAAAACACGATGAAAAAAGTGGATGAACACGCAGCAAATGTACGTTTCAATTAGGAAATACAGAAAATATATGTTTGTGTTTCATCTGAGGAACTTTCTCCCAGGAAGGTGCAATTGTCAGGTACAAGGACTGAACAGGAGAGGTGGAAAAAAATCTGTGTAGAAAAACTTTGAGCAAGCCTGAACAACTAGTGATGACACAAAAACACATGGCCACTGGAATATAACATAGACATACAGTGCAAGGAGCAAAACAGTAGAGCAGAATCATAAGGGAGGGAGCCAGAGGTATATGTGTGCTGAGATGAATGATTGCTGAGTGAGAACAGCTGAGGCTAATGAGCAGATGAAGAGCACAAACAAAACAACAGGACTGAACTATAACAAAAACAAATTCAACCTACAAGATAAACACAAAATGCACAAGATTATGATATAAGATGACAAAAGACAAGAATCCAGGGATTAAACATTTGCAGGCAAGTGAAAGTATCAGAACCGAAAGCCTCGCAGGAGAGATGTCGGAAGCTAAAACTCAGCATTTTCATTCAACCTTTATTTATACAGGTTAGTCTCACTGAGCCTCGATGACTCATTTTCAAGAGAGACCTGTGGGAGGAAAACACACATTGAAGTAAACTTCAGTACCAGTTGTGAAAATTTACTTTAAAAATAAGTGAAAGTGAATAACCAAACTAAGCAGGTGTTCCCCAACTGACCAATAACTTACTGTCACCAAAGGAGTTCCTTCAGTTATTGATGACTGACAGCAAAGCAGATGATCCGTTGGAGATCAAGCTGGGTTCTGTGCAGCCTTTAGGTTAAAATAAGTTTGGCATCCCTGAAATGATGTTAAATGATAAGTATGTAATAAAAAAAATAAAGCTTGCTTTCTCTTTTTTTTTCCTGTCTTAAGGTTTTTCTTTAAAAACTGGTTTGGCCAAGAATCAAGAGCATCGTATCGCTTCAGTTTGACAAGAGACAAAATCAGCCCAGTGCTCGACTACAACACCATTGATTATCTATTTTCTCAGGTAAAATGATTTTATTAACCATAAGCTCCGGAGAGTAATAACTACATGTTTCATGTCTTAGCACATACATTAAAAATTCCACAGTTTATAATTAATAAAAGTCTTTGTGCGATCGACAACCCTGGTTTCTGTTGGTTGTTAGATGCGAAGTGATTTTGTTGCCAGCCAAGCAGGAATCGCTCCACCTTTGAGTGCTCAAGAGGAATGCCTCGGCCTTGCTGTGCTGGACTTATGGAGAATGGCTAAAGAGCACCATCAGAGTGTAAGAGAGCTGTGCAAGACTGTCAGGTACTTACACCGAGACACGATTAAAAACAGGAGTACATATGGTAGGACAAGGAGCATGTTGTGGTGGCAGTATCTATAGCACATCCATGTAATCTTTGCACCAAATCCTTTTTCCTTTTTCCAGCTATAAATCATGCCTTCCCAAGTCACATCGCCACGACATCCAGAAACGAAACCGCCTGGACCGTTTTCGGATTCGAAAATCCCTGAAGCGTTTCATGAAGAAGCTTGGAAACTGCTCGGTGGACGTGTGCAGCCTGAAACTTAAATACTTGATTGAACTGGCCGGCATCGAGCCCTCTTTGGGAAGTGAGACCTTCCACGTGAATTGTTTTTCCTCCTACTCAAACACAAGTTTCTCTCTTGTGCGCGTCAATGGAGAAACTGGAATTCAAACCAGCGAAAATTGTCATCCTGATGGGAACCTGGTAAGAAAGAGGTTCAAGTTAAATTTGTAAAGGTCAGAGTCACCCAAATATTCTCTTTAAGGATTAGGGTTAGGTAAAAATAAATAAATAAATGGCTGCTTAACTTTTCAGCAATTTCAGTACAGTGTGTGATGGCAATCAAAAACTAACAAAGTATATTTTTTATTTACTTTACAGAATGTCCATGACAAAAAGTTGAGCTTAGATAAAAACAGGGTTGTTACACCAAATTCAGAGTATTACACTGTTGAGGTAAATTTTCAAGATAGGTAGATACTTAGATAGATAGATACTTGGATGGTTTTATATATATATATATATATATATATATATATATATATATATATATAT